TTCATTTTAGTTCAGCTTTTTCCATGAAAAGGCAAAATTCGTTGCCCATCCTGGTCCCCATTGACCCAACTCTGCTGGTTTTAGACTAGGGTCACTCAGATTTTTCTCTCCACCAGTTTCCATTCTCCTTTTCTGCCATTTAACAGTTCAATTCAATGTCTTGTCTGAAACGTTTAAATTTTAACCTTGACAGTTTGAATCTAGGACAAAGTTTAAGAGAAGAAACGAATTGGGTGGGAGCCCAGCAGCCACTGGCTTCCTTGAGGCAGGCTTAGGGAATGGTGCTCCCTAGTGGCCGGAGAAAGGATCTCCAGAAGGCGATTCCATTCACATCCAAACCTAGTCCGCCCAAAGCTCCACGGTGGAAAGTTAAACCACAGTGGAAAATTCGTGTTTCTGCGGCATTGACTGTCAGCTACACCGGCCCCTCTTACCCGCTGGGGGTTGGACCCTGACCTGCCACAGGACTCAAGGCAGGGACTTCCTGGGCACGGAGCCTCATGCCAGCCCACCCAGAAGAACCTTGCCTCGGCCAGATGCCAAGGAGCATGACGAAAAGCCCCCTCAAAGTGGAGGTGAGCTCCCGACTACTGCAGCCTACAGGGCAGCTGGGCTCAGCGATGGCCTCCTCCCAGGTGCGGCCACTCGTTGTCCAGCCCTGCACTCAAGTGTAGATGGGGGCAAGACCTTGTGGTGACTAGCATCAAACTTTCATTTTAATCCATTTATTTTATTTATGCAAGAATCTGAGAGGCAAACACGGAGATACCCTCCTTCCAGTTTATCACTCAGTGGCTATAAGGGCCCCTGGCAGAGGCTGCGAGCTGGAAACTTGATTCAATCAGGTCTCCCACGTGAGTGATGGGGACTCAACGACCTGAGCCATCACCTGCTGCCTCTCGGGCATCATTTTAGCATTCTCCTGGTAGCTGCTGGTACTTCAGACACTGTTCTTTGCAGGCTTTACTAGACACATGGCTGGGAAGCTTCCGGCCTTCAGCGCCCCCTACTGGGACTTCGTGTCAGTTAAACTTTTCCCAGCACCATTGCTTGTTAAAAATGACAAGAAGGCCGTCCCCAAAATTTCACAGGTATCTCTTCAAGCCCCCGAATGGGGACCTGTTCATTCTTGTACTGGCTTAGTACTAACATAAAGGTTACCTTTTTTTTTTTTTTTTTTTTTTTACTGCCGCGGGTTCACAGAGTCTAATGCCCCACAGATATTAACCATAAAGAGAAGACTGGTTTGTCTTTTTTTTTTCCTTCCCATTTCATAGATCATATAACCCTTTCATATTATAAATGTTTAAACTAAAGCCTCCTGTCAAGCAAATCAAACAGCTACTGCCCCTAATGTTTCAGGGTATATGGCAAGTTCTTTGAGTCCTAGCTCTTGGCCTTTAACTAATTCCTAACTAATTAAGTGAATGAATTTATTTTTTATTTAAAAGGCAGAGATATAGAGAGAAGGAGAGACAAAAAAATTTTTATCCCCTGGTTCACTCCCCAAATGATTGCAACAGTGACAGCTGGGGTGGTCTGAAGCTGGGAGCCAGGAAGGAGCATTTTCAAGGACTCCCATGTAGGTGCAGAAGCTCAAGCACTTGAACTATCCTCTGTTCCTTTGCTAGACACATAAGCAGGGAGTTGGATAAGAAGTGGAACCTCTGGGACTTGAACCCCAGAGCCCATTTGGTGTATTAGCACTGCAAGCAGAAGTCTAGTCTACTATGCCACAGTGCCAGCCCCAGCAATAGGAATTTACAATGTATAGGTTGGGGGTCCTGATCCTATCACTTCAATACAGACAGTAATCAAACAACATGCCTGGGAGGTAGCTGCTTTTGCCCTAATTCTAAAACCTCCAGGGTTCTCACTATCTCCTGTCTGCCTCCTGGTGCTTCAGGAAGCAGGAGGAAGCTTCTCTTTGGAGGTTCCAGACTTCAGGTGTACCGTCACCTTTACAGTTAACCCTTCCAGGTAGCGCTGGGCCTAGCAGAAGCCAGGAGCCTGGAACCCCATCCAGTCTCTCCTAGGGGTAACCTGCATCACCTTCTGCTGCTTTCAATATGGGATGCCGGCACAGCATGTGATGGCTTACCCCCTGTGCCCCAACGCCGTCCCTGGTTTTGGTTCCTAGAATCCCAGTCTGTCCTTTCCCCTACTTTCACCTTGGGGATCTTCCAGTACAACTAAAAATTGTTAGAATGAAAATTACGGGCCCGGCGCGGTGGCACAGTGGTTAAGGTCCTCGCCTTGCATGCCCAGGATCCCATATGGGCGCCGGTTCTATCCTGGCAGCCCCGCTTCCCTTCCAGCTCCCTGCCTGTGGCCTGGGAAAGCAGTCGAGGACGGCCCAAGGCTTTGGGACCCTGCACCCGCGTGGGAGACCCGGAAGAGGCTCCTGGCTTTGGACCGGCATAGTATCGGCCCGTTGCGCTCACTTGGGGAGTGAATCATCAGATGGAAGATCTTCCTCTCTGTCTCTCCTCTCTGTATATCCGCCTTTCCAATAAAAAAATAATTAAAAAAGAAAAGAAAAGAAAAGGAGGTATGAGTTCCATATGGGACAGTTTTGAGTAAAATATTCGGCTGCCTTGCCAGATGTATGAGAATGTCACGCCTGTGACAGTCACAATGCACAAACGTTAGGACAGATTTTGACAGTGAAGGAAGAATTCTAGTGGGGAGAGGCGGGAGTGGTGGCAGTCTTTCGGGAAATACTGAGAACTGTCGGGGAATGAGACCTTGGGCGGCAGTAAAGAGCCTCCCTGGGGGCCTCCACCCGCCTCTGCACCCTCGGGTTTGAGCTTCCCCTCTTCTTGCAGTTCAGTTTCCTGCTAACATGCACCCCGGGAGAGAGCGGCAGAAGGCTCATGAACTTGGGTTTCATTTTCTTTATTTTTAAAAAAGATTTATTTTTATTGGAAGGGCAGATTTACAGAGAGGAGGAGAGACAAAGAGGAAGATCTTCCATCTGCTGATTCACTCCCTAAGTGGCTGCAACGGCCAGAGCTAAGCTGATTTGAAGCCAGGAGCCTGGAGCTTCTTCCGTGTCTCCCATGTAGGAGTAGGGTCCCAAGTCCTTAAGCTGTCCTCGACTGCTTTCCCAGGCCACAAGCAGGGAGCTGGATGGGAAGTGGAGCTGCCGGGATTAGAACCAGTGCCCATATGAGATCCTGGCACATTCAAGGCAAGGACTTTAGCCACTAGGCTAGCATGCCAGGCCCGGTTTCATTTTCTTTAATAAACATTATACTAGTTCTTTATAAAATATGAATAAATTTTCCAACTTAAAAAAAAAGATTTATTTTCACTGGAAAGTCAGATTTACAGAGAAAAGGAGAGACAAAGACCACTGATTCACTCCCCAAGTGACCACAATGGCCAGAGCTGAGCTGATTTGAGCCAGGAACCAGGAGCGTCTCCCAAGCTGGTACAGGGTCCCATGGCTTTGGGCCGTCCTCGACTGATTTCCCAGGTCACAAACTGGAAGCTGGACAGAAAGTAGACCAGGTGGATACGTACTAGCGCCCATGTGGAGAACCGGCGCCCATATGGGATCCCGGGCGTGCAAGGCGAGGTTTTGGCCACTAGGCTACTGTGCCGGGCTGTTATCCAACTATTTCAAAATTTCTTCTTCAAAAAATGAAAACACTCACATTATAGAACAATCAGAAAACAGACTAACCAGATGAACACTGAACGAGTGGGTTCAGGCTGGCACGGTAAATGCTCAGCCAGAGTGGCTGGAGCAACAGGAAGTTAGTTTGTGACAGTTCTGGAAGCTGGAATGCCAAAGTGAAGGTGTGGCTGGTTTCCCGGGCGCTCTTCACTACGCGGCTCGCGCTGGCTGTCTCACAGAACAACAATCCTATTCGTTATGGGTCCCCCTCATAAAGGTCTTCTGGAAGTTTCTATCTTTACTAAATCTTGCTCTGCTCGCTGAAAATAGACAAAGTCCCTTCATGAGAAGAGCAAAACAGGGAGGTCTGAAGCCTGAGGCGGGTACATCACCTCAGAACTGATCCCGAAATGGCTTCAAGTGAGGGAAGACCCAGTCCCGGAGCCCAGGGCGCGCGGCGACGCCCCGACCGGCCCGCGTGAGGAGCAGCCGCGCCGCACTCGGACGCCGCCCCGGAGGACCCCGGCGGCCGCCCCGCCGTCCCACAATGCTCCGCTCAAGCCTCCCTACGCGGGGAGAGAGAGGACCGCTGCCGGGGTAAGGCATCCGCCGAGGGCGGGGGAGGGGGCGTTCCGAGAAGTGCGCACGCGCAGTGACCCCGGCGGGCCCTAGCAACCAGAGCAGTGACGGTAGCAACGGCCGGAATGGTGAGTACCCTCCCGGCCTCGTAGACCAAGCGGGAGAGGCTGCAAGTGGGAAAGGGGGAGACTGCGAAGTGTTGTGGGCACGCGGGTTCTCGAACAACGGAAGGAAGCGGCTAGCGGATGCTAGCTCCGTAGGGGCAGAGGCCTGAGAAGGGGGGAAAGAACGGCCCTGGCCGGAGGGTGGGGGGTCGAGGGCCGGCCTGGGGCTGCTGGCAGGTTGAGTTGAGGTGGAGGGACTCTGAGGGCGAGAAGAGGGAGGGCGAAGCGCAGGGCATTCTAGAAAAGGAGAGGATTGCTGCGGGGAAAGTGATGGGAAGGAGGGTGTAGATAAACATTTGTGTTTAGGAGGCACTGATTTTGGTTCCCGGGCCCCAGCGCGGTGGAGGGGAGCTAGTTAGCGAAGGAGCGGGAGTAGCAACGATTGCAAAGATGTTGGCAACCTGTGAGGTACCTAGCTTGCTGTCAGAATTGACTGCGCGTTCAATTGATAGGCACCATTGTAAGACGCTCTTTGATGGATGTGGTAGGGCCGTGGTTTTCAAATACAGCAGGCAGAAGTATGAGCCTGTTGGAATGCAGATGGTGGATTTCAGTAGGACGCGGGGAGTTGCAGAATGCATTTCCTCCAGGCACCTCAAGTGATTTTGAAGTTAAGGAAGGGAGGGCGTCCCACCATGCTCACGCTTGGAGAAATGCTGTGCCTTGGGTTTGAAATCTACCCTCGGGTTTCTTTATGAAGCTGATGTTTTCTCTTATGCGTGTCCCTCCTCCTTGCTTACATATCTAGTAGCCTCGATTGATAGTTTGAAAAGGGCCACGGATCTAGCCAGAGCTGTTTAGCACAGAGTGCTGTAGTTCGGCCAGCCAGAGATGCTTTATGAAGAGTAAGTGTAATTAGTTGTTCTTTTGTGATTTCAATACTGGGTATGTGATCCGAAATTGAACCCAGGGGATTCAAAAAATGAAGTTATGCTTCCCCTCAACCCCAAGACACAGTGCTCCGCTCCCCAACACACGTGCCGAAGTATACTCTTAAGGAAGGTAGGAAGTTCTGGATCTCAAGTTTACATTTAGGTGAGGAAAAACAGCCCTAAATAATTCTGCCTGTGTGAACCATGGTGATGACTGACAGTGTCCTCATAGGGAAATCAGAAGCAGTCACTTGGTTGAAGTTAGCTGAGTCTGCAAAGAGCCTCCAGAAATGTATTTCCAGGACATTGTATTTACAGTTGTTTTTCAGTGTCTTTTTTTTTTTCTAGATTTATTTTTATTGCAAAGTCAGATATACAGAGAGGAGGAGAGACAGAGAGGAAGATCTTCCATCCGATGATTCACTCCACAGGTGACCGCAGTGGCCAGAGCTGTGCCGATCCAAAGCCAGGAGCCAAGAGCTCTTCCGGGTCTCCCACACGGGTGCAGGGTCCCAAGGCTCTGGGCCATCCTCAACTGTTTTCCCAGGCCACAAGCAGGGAGCTGAATGGGAAGTGGAGCTGCTGGGATTAGAACCAGTGCCCATATGGGATCCCAGCACGTTCAAGGCAAGGACTTTAGCTGCTGGGCCATGGCGCCGGGCCCTATTTTTCAGTGTCTTAAAAACGATCCTGTTGGGCCTGGTGCGGTGGCGCAAGTGGTTAAGGTCCTCACCTTGCACGCCCGGGATCCCATATGGGCCCTGGTTCTATCCCGGCAGCCCCGCTTCCCTTCCAGCTCCCTGCCTGTGGCCCGGGAAGGCAGTCGAGGACAGCCCAAAGCTTTGGGACCCTGCACCCGCGTGGGAGACCTGGAAAAGGCTCCTAGCTTCGGATCGGCATCGCATTGGCCGTTGCGCTCACTTGGGGAGTGAATCAACGGACGGAAGACCTTCCTCTCTGTCTCTCCTCTCTGTATATCTGCCTTTCCAATAAGAAAAAATAACAAAAATAAATCTTAAAAAAAAAAAAACGATCCTGTTTCACATTAAAAACTCAGATTTCTAGCTTTTCTGCAAAAACAAGTTTTAACATTGGATTTACAGTCTTACTGTAATTGTCACTGCTCTAATTTCTTTTTTTGTTTTGATACATGAAGCAAGGTGTTGCTAAAAATTAATGAAGTTTTAAAATTTGAATAAATGTGCTATTAGGGTAGCTGCTGGGCCCCCATCCCACCCACCAGCAGCTGTCTGGAGCTGATTAGAGGTGCTCTCTAAGTGGATGTGTCCAGACCTGGCCAGCTCTGGCCAGCTGGGCCCCTAAGTGGAAGGAGAGCCAGAGATCTTCAAATGATTCCCATTGCTGCAATGGACAGCCAGATTGACTCCAACTCTGGTTTCTACAAAAGCAGTGACAAAGTGTGCCTCTGCTGTGTCCTTTATGGGCCCAGGCCGGGCAGTACAACCAGGAGGCGAAGACCTCCTACCATGGGATCCCAGTGTACTTAATTTCCTTAGGCATGCTCAGAATTCCCTCTAGTGTAGCTCTACCAATTTTAACTTCTACCAGCAGAAGAGTTCCCATTTCTCTACATCTTCCCCAGTAACAACCAGGACTGGCCCAGGCTAAAACCGGTAGCCAGGAGTTCCCATCTGAGTCTCCATGTGAGACTCATTATGGCTGAGACAGCCATAATGAGCGGGCTCAAGTAGCGGGCTCCTGCCACTTGCACAGAAAACCTGGCTTGATTGCCCAGCTCCTGGCTTCAGCCAAGTCCAGTCCTGACCACTTGTGTGCATTGAGGAGTGAAGCACAACCAGGGTTCTCTCTGCCTCTTAAATGAATATATAAAAATCCGATATCATGTAGAACTACATCAGGTCCTCTTTCTGTACTTCCTGGAGTAAGTATAATTTTCTTTTCTTCAATCAAGTAGTTCAATCGATTAGTTCTCTTGGGATAAGGTATTCATGATCAGATCATTAAATATCATTGGCTTTAGAAATTTGATATTGGGGCCTGGCATGGTGGCCTAGTGGCTAAAGTCCTCACCTTGAACATACCAGGATCTTATACGGGCGCTGGTTCTAATCCCAGCAGCTCCACTTCCCATCCAGCTCCCTGCTTGTGGCCTGGGAAAGCAGTTGAGGATGGCCCAAAGCCTTGGGACCCTGCACCCATGTGGGAGACCTGGAGGAAGTTCCTGGCTCCTGGCTCCAGATTGGCGCAGTGCCGGCCGTTGCGGTCACTTGTGGAGTGAATCATCGGACAGAACATCTTCCTCTCTGTATATCTGACTTTGCAATAAAAATAAATAAATCTTTAAAAAAATTAATTTGATATTATTTCCAGCTCTGTGGCAAAGTTGGCAAAGTAAATGGTGGCTTTCGGAGGGTGGAGGAGGAGCGTGTGAATGCCTCTCCAGCAGCAGGAGCTGTCAGAATCCCCTTCTCCATTTCACCTGGTAACTAATAAAGGCCATTCATACTGCAAAAAAAAAAAAAAAAAAACCAAGTAAATACTGTTATTTTTAAAAGATTTACTTTTTTTTTTTTTCTTGAAAGACAGAGTTGCAGAGAGAGAAAAAAGAGAGAGAGATCTTGCATCTGCTGCTCTACTCCCCAAGCGGCCTCAAAGGCTGGAGCTGAGCCAATTCGGAGCCTGGAGCCAGGAGCCTCTTCCAGGTCTCCCACGTGGGTGCAGGGTCCCAAGGCTTTGGGCCATCCTCGACTGCTTTCCCAGGCCACAAGCAGGGAGTTGGATGGGAAGTAGAGCTGCTGGGATTAGAACCAGTACCCATATAGGATCCTGGTGCATGCTAGGCAAGGACTTTAACCACTAGGCTATCGTGCCAGGCCCACCCCTTGTTCTTTACTTTGAATTCCTTCCTTCCTTTCTTTTTTTCTCTCTTCTTCTTTTTTTTTTTTCACGGTCAGTTTTTCCAGAGATTCAACAGTCAACTTTCAGGGGTGAGTGCTGTGGTGTAATGGGAAAAGCCTCTGCCTGCAAACCAGCATCCCATGTGAGCACCGTCCAGCTCCTTGTTAATGGCCTGGGAAAGCAATGAAAGACGCCCCAAGAGCTTGGGCCCCTGCATTCGTATGGGAGACCTGAATGAAACACCTGGCTTCTGTTTTCCACATGGTATACCCCTGGTCCATTCACTACCGCCTTCCCAGGCCACAAGCATGGAGCTGGTTGGGAAGTGGAGCAGCTGGGACACAAACTGGTGCCCATATGGGATCCTGGTGCATGCAAGGCGAGGATCCAGCCACTAGGCCATCATGCTGGGCCCAACAAAGTTCTTTCAAATCTATTTTGGAATACAGATTTTTATTCTGTATCATCCTTTTTGAACTTGACAAAGAACGCAGATATATGAAATAAAATGACAAATATTTTTCTAAAATCACTGCCACCTGGCCATGGCAGTAATAAATTGGTTTTAAGCTAAACCTAAACTTCAGTGTTCTGATATTTTGTTGCAAAAAAAAAAAAAAAAAATGTAGACCTCAGAATCAAAAAGTAAAAGGTATCTTAATTTCAAAAGCTAAAAAAGGGGCTGGGGGAATCCTAGAGCCTATGAAACTGTGTCATAAAATGATATAAAAATTTTTTAAGTTAAAAAGGTGCATAATTTTTGTAAACCAAGTGGGAGTAAAGTATATGGTCTTATATGATTATTTTCTTTGAGAGGTATTTAAATCATTGTGATTTCAGGAAATTTGAAACAACATCTTGTAAAATCTCAAAGAAACTAGTCCTTTTTGTAGTAGAAGCCAAGGCTAATAATTATTGCATGAAAATTGAGTCAGTAAATTGTGCCAAGAAAGACAACCTCAATTTTTCTTCTTCTTTAAGGCAAAAGCAACAACAATCAAAGAAGCCCTAGCCAGATGGGTAAGTATACGAATTTCTCTTCCTTTTAGGAACCATGCAAGGCCAGTTGTAGGAATGTGAATTAAATCTGATGATTCAGTATAAAGAATCTTTGTGGTTTTGAAATTGTCTCGTCGATTGTGATAAATACATGAGCCTATGCAGGTGATAAAATTGTTTTGAATTTCATACACTCATAGAAACACATTTGTAGATTCAAAAGACTACAAGTAAATGTGGTACAACCTGAATAAAATCTGGATTATTCTTGAATATAGCAATGTCCTAGAAATAATATTAGAGTTTATGCAAGCAATCTGTCTACATTATATATTTTATAATCGAAGGTGGAGCCTTAAATATCCAAACAAAAATTTCAATTTTTAAAAATCTGACCACTGGAAAATTTAAATATGGAAAGGCTGGTTCATCTGTTGTTGTCAAATGGCTAGAATTTCTGTGTTTCAGTATAGAAAAATACAAAGAAAAATCATGTGTTGGCACCTAAAAGGCTGTCAATCAAGAATACTAAAGAAAAAGTAATATTAGAATGGTGACTATACTGTAAAAACATGCATTAAATATCATAACATTCTCAAAAGCTTGGAGTTTTAATTCAGAATTCGACGTGGAATTTCTTTACTGAACAGACATGGCATCTTGAGTTCTGTGCCAGTAATGACTTACTTGTCCATGTAATGAGTAGGTTTTTTTTTTTTTTTGACATAATAGTATACCTTTCGCTTGTAAGTAGCTAAACTATGAATAAAAAGTTTTTCTGGAGTCTTGGTGTCTAAGGAAAATAGGCAAAAGTAGACGAAACAGTGAAATATTTGAATTTTTCTCTTAGTGTTTATAAATATATTATTTAGCCTAATTGCATCTTTAAATTAATTTGCTTAATTAAATACTTAATGAAGAATTTGTTTTGTTAGAAGAAAAAAAAAAGAATATGGAGTAAATTCTGTTTTGATTTTTTCCTTGAATCAGAACTTAGAACTGTATTTCATTATACTATCAAAGAGGATCTTTGCATTTTTTCTTTTGTTTTAGATTCTATTTCTAAATTACTCTATTGGTCATAAATCTCTGACTCTTCAAGGTTATTTTGATGATATCAAACTCACTCGTTCATTGATTACCATTTATTGAGAATCACTGTCAGTTTCCTCTCGTGTAACTTACAAAGATCAAGTGTAACATATAAATAGTGAGCATGTATGTTCACTAGATCTCTTGATGTGTGATGATTTTTTAAATGAGCATTTTTTATATCTTGTACTTCACTAGATTATAGGAAACAGGAAAGCAGGGAAAAGGCTTCCTGGGCCTCATTTTGTTAGAGAAAAGAACTGATCTAAGCAAGGAGGTACTTAGTTAATATTATCAGGCAGCATGAGTCAGTAACTAAACTGTAAATTGTGTGGTTTGCCCTGGTAGGGTTTGCTGGTGACGAAGAATAAAACAGATTTTACCTCATCTGTATTGCGAAGAGAATGTCTTGGAAACTTCTTGGTGGTTTAGGGTTATAGCTCAAGTTGAGCTGGATACAGTTTGGGGAAGATGAGATGGCAGTGAAGAGAACAATTTTTAAAGCATTCTAAATATTACCAGAAAAACTTTTGGCCCACTCTCTTCTATTTAATTAAGACCTAACAGTTATCTGACTCGACCGTGTAGAATCTTACTTATTAGGATCCGTGAGTAAATGGTTCCAGTAAGGGAATGGAAAAGAATTTTCTAAATTCTTGATTTCAGAGTAGTTCTAACTATACAAAGCAAAAAAAATCATGAAGTAGTACTAAGTGTTCCCATATACTCCACACCTGGCCTCCTTTATAAATGTCTCATATTCATATGTATTTATCACTATCAGTGAACTATACTATGCTTTCCCTATTATGTTTAATTCAAACGGCTTCTGGACCCCCCCGACCCCCCTCCCCCACTCCAGCCTCCTCTACTTCTAGAAATCAACATTTGGTTCAGACAGAGGTTTGTTTTGGTTTTTTAGCTCACATGTGTGCCAGAGAATGTGCAGTATTTGTCTTTCTGTCTCTGGCTTATTCCATTCAATACGATGTCCTGTAATTCCATCCCTTTTGCTACAAACCATAGATTCTGTTCTTTTTAATGGCTGGAAAGTGTTCTGTGTATATATATGCCATATATTCTGTATTCATCCCCCTGATGGTGGGTTGATTTCATATCTTTGCTGTTCTAAGCGGTGCTGCAATAAACATGATGGACAAGGTATCTCTTTGGTATAATCATTGCATGTCTTTTGCTTATATACCCAGTAATGGGATTGCATGGTCACATGGCTGTTCTATTTCTAGTTTTTAAGGAATTATTAAACTGTGATTAATTCTAATAATTGTTTTGGAATAAACATCAATGCCCTCAGGAAACTCTAGCTTCTTTTGTTTCCACATTTCTAATTTGGGATCAATTTCTTCTCGATTTATTTTTCCTGTAGGAGGAGAAGACAGGTCAGAGGCCATCTGAAGCCAAAGAGTTAAAGCTTTATGCCCAAATTCCCCCCATAGAGAAGATGGATGCATCTTTGTCAACTCTTTCTAATTGCGAGTAAGTTCTCTTTTTTCATCTATCAGGCATGATTATTAGGTTTGTGTTACTTAATGTATATATATATTATATACTTATTATATATATATCTCTCAAAATATGTATGTGTGTCTGTGTATTTATTTAAGTAACAGAGAGAAAGAAAGAACCAGAAAGTTAAACAGAGCTTGATCCACCTGTTCACTCCCCAGATGCCCCCACAATCAGGAGGTTGGTCTGGACCAGGCAGAATGCTGGAGCTGGGTATAATCCAGGTCTCCCATGAGGGTGGGGACTGTAGGGAATCTCAGAATCCCTGAGGGTCTGTGTGAGTTCTTCACCCTGTGTTTGTCTAAGTCAGATTTCCTTGACAACCTGTACTTTATGTAGAAGATAAGCCCCACCCTAATTTTATAAAATAGACTACTTTCTGAGGAAATTGAGGAATCTGTATTTACAGTAGGCAAGTTGGCTGATTCAAACGTGTATCTGTGAACCCATGTGTTAGACTGATACCTGTCTTTGAAATAAAAAGGAAAAGCAAACACATTTACTATGTGCCACTCATTCCTTGTGATGAAAGCGAAGTGTGTCACGTAATAATCCACCTCAGGATGTTGTTGTGGCTTCAAGCATCATTTCAAAGCGTGTGCCGTCTGGAAACACAAATCGATGTCAAGAAATTCACTACCCCATACTAGAGAACCCCGGAAATCAGTTAAAAATGATCAAACTGCTCGTGTTTTTTTGTTTTGTTTTGTTTTACTGAGCACCTTTTTAGAATTAAAGTCTATTTCCCAGCCATGTTCTTGGACTTAAAAGCATTTAAGTTTTTCAAGGTGGTTCTCTAGAACAGGGATTTAAAAATATATAGATTTGATGAGCGATTGTAGATGAATTGCTTTTGCTATTTCGAGCAGAAAGAGAAATCAGTGTTTCTTCTTTGAGTCAAAACAAGAATGTGCTACAGCGAAGCACCTAGGTTTTGATTTTGACCTTACCTCTTCTGGCTGCATGATGCTGGGAAATTGATCAACTTCTTTGCAGTTCAGCTTCGTTTATAAAATGTAGATAATGATACTTATCTCAAGGTCAGTATCATTTCTTGTTTGTTTTTAGATGATGTTTACATAGTTGATCAGGGTGGGAAGGATGGAGGGTCAAGGAAAAGTAGATGTGATTATTGTTTCCAAATTTTCTATTTTTTTCTTCCTGTTTCTGGGGGTGGGGGGAGGAGAAGAGGAGAAGCCATACCCAGCCTCCCAACCGCCCCAAACCCAGGGATGAGGAATGGCCACCCGGTATCAGCCCGGGGTCACGATGTGGCACACACTTCGAGGGTTTTGCACAGATAGTTTTGATAGATGTGAAATGTTGTTGATCTCAACAAGCCAGGGATGAGAGAGCAATTCAGTGTCCACCGGCTGACTGGTCTACCTTAGAGTCTCCTTTTGCCCAGATATTTGCTATCATCGTTTGGCTGGCATAGTTGTCCCATTTGTTCTGTCCTTCCTCTTGCATAGTACCAAATGTCCTCTGTAGGCCTCGGTGTGCTGCCATATCCTGCATGTGGGTCTGGGCCAGCTGTTCACTACTCCATCTTTTGCACCGAGGAAGACCAGTTCTCACAGGTGGGCCCAAGGACCCAGGCCAGGCAACCCAGGCCCCGCTGGATCCCCCACCCCTGGGGCTCACAGACCCGCTACCTATTGCACAGATGGGCCAAGGACCTGGGCAGGCAACCCGAGTCCTGCCGGGCGGTCAGGATGATTTTTTAAAAGCATTTATTTATTTGAAGACAAGAGTTATAGCAGGGAGAGAAAAAGAGATCTTTCATCTGAAGGTTTATCCCCAGATGGCCACAGCCACTGAAGCCAGCTACGTCATCTGGGTCCCTCACGTATGTGGCAGGGACCCAAGTTTTTATACCAACCCCACTGCTTCCCCAGATACATCAGCAGAGAGATGGTTGGGAAGTGGAGCAGTGGGTCCATAAACAGTGTCCGTATGGTATGTCAGCAGAATAGACTGTGGCTTCATACGCTGCACCACAACACTGGCCCCAAGATTGTGATCACTAAGATAATTAGTTGATACAAGACACTTAGAGAAACATTAGGACCCTCCAGTGTTTGATAAAAATTAGTCTTTATTAGATGTTGTAAGAAATTTAGTGACATTAAACTATTGTGTAATTTAGTATGAAATTTTAATAATTTAATAAAAAATAGGGGAATATAGACATTTTTCCTGAGGGCACAAAGGAGGAGTGGGAGGGAATATAGATATTTAAAGTAAGTATATTCACTCCATTAATTCATCTAAGCTATACCAACTATAGAGCACGAAAAATAAGTTCTGAAGTGTAGTTACTTGTAAAATATGCTACTTCCAGTAGTTTGCACTTAAGAATATATTCTATATATTCTATAAAGAAGCAGAATTTTTTTAAGATTTATTTATTTTTATTGGAAAGGCAGGTTTGCAAAGAGAAGGAGAGACAAAGAGGGAAAGATCTTATATCCACTGGTTCCCTCCCATAATGGCTGCAACAGCTGAAGCTGAACCAATCCAAAGCCAGGAGCTTCTTCCTGGCTCTCCATAAGAGTGCAGGAACCCAAGGGTCTGGGCCGACCTCCACTGCTTTCCCAGGCCACAGACGGAGCTGGATGGGAAGTGGAGCAGCTGAGACATGAAATGGTGCCCATATGGGATGCTGGTGCTCACAGGCAGAGGATTAGACTGTTGAGTCAGTGTCTTAACCACTAGGCTAATTACCTGCTCCCATCTGCAAAATATTTTTCCCAAGGAAGGAATATGAATAAGCCCATGTAATTATGTTTCTTTAAAAATATTTATACAAGGCCCAGTGCAATAGCCTAGCAGCTAAATTCCTCGCCTTGCATGTACTGGGATCCCACATGGGTGCCAGTTCGTGTCCCGGCAGCCCCACTTCTCATCCAACTCCCTGCTTGTGGCCTGGGAAGGCAGTCGAGGACGGCCCAAAGCCTTGGGACCCTGCACCCACGTAGGAGACCCAGAGGAAGCTCCTGGATCCTGGCTTCAGATTGGGGTAGTTCCGGTGGTTGTGGCCACTTGGGGCCTGAATTAGCTGAGGGAAGGTCTTCCTCTTTATCTCTCCTCTCTGTATATCTGACTTTCCAATAAAAATAATAACTCTTTTAAAAAATTTATACAATAATGTATAGCAAAGGTCCACAAGTGCTATATGTGGGGTCAGCATTGTGGTGTAGTGGGTAAAGCCACCACCTACAATATCAGCAACCCATATAATTGCTGGTTGAAGTCCTGGCTGCTGCACTTGATCCACCTCTCTGCTCATGTGCCTGGGAAAGCAGCAGAGAACAGCCCAAGTCCTTGTGCCTCTGCACCCACATGGGACACCTGGAAGAAGCTCCAGGAGAGAAAGAAAGAAAGAAAATCTGCACAATGCATCTACACAGTTCTGTTTTTGTTTTCTCATCAAAACATCTTCCTAGATGGTTTGATATGCATCATGGATATATTCCCAATCTCATTTTTTCTAAATGTTTTTAAAAGAAGGTTTCTTTATTTATATATTTATATATTTATTTGAAAGACAAAGTTACAGGACAAGACAGAAAGGCCTTCCATCTGCTGGATCACTCCCCAGATGGCCACCAAAGCCATGGCTGAGCCTTGCTGAAGTCGGGTCTCCGCCGGGGGGTGGTAGGAGCCCAGGCCAGCCTCCCTGCTTTCCCAGGCACCTGCAGGGAGTTGGATTGGAAGTGGAGCATCCAAGACTTGCACCAACGCTCCTGTGTGCTACTGGCACTATAGTCAGCAGCTTAATTGGCTATACCACAATGCTGACCCGCCTGTCCCAAGGCTCATTTTGGGCATATGGTAGCGTGGTATTCCCATAATCCAACCTCAGTGGGTAGATGTTTATATTTTTTCTATTTTGTATTACACAAATATATAGGCATTTTGTATTAATATTTCAGTATGATGTATTCCTAAAAGTGAGATGCGAAGTCACAGAACAATATACATTAAAAATGAATAAATAATAATACATTTCCCCAGATTTTTGTTTGTTTTTTTTCTACATAAATTATGTGTTAACATTTGTAATCAAAGGCAGAAAATGTCATAGCTTCCATGACTAGGAGAGGGAAAAAAATGGATTCAGTATAAAGAAAGTTTAAATGTATCTGTCTTCCATGGGCAATACTATTGAGGAATGATTACTGATATATCATTGAAGTTTCTTATTAATTGAGGTTTTTCTTTGTTTTTTTTTTTTTTTAAGGAAGCTTTCATTGTCAACAAACTGCATCGAAAAAATTGCCAACCTGAATGGCTTAAGTAAGTGATCCACAGCAACAACTGGTTCTTTGATTTCCCAGTTACTAGGATACGCTTTCTGGAGATGTGATGGTATTTGAGAAGCCAGCACCTGTTTCAGCCATGCCGTCATTGACAGAATATATAAACCATGAGTTTCAAGTTTGATAAACCAAATAAAGTTAGAGAACACACGAGACTTGAGCATTTTAGAGCTTCTAGAGAGTTAGAATTGAAATATCTTATTTTTTTTTGAAGATTAATTTCTATATTTGAAAGAAGAATTCCAGAGAGGAAGAGAGACAGAGTGATCTTCCACCCACTGGTTCACTCTTCAGTTTCACCCGAGTCTCACGTGGGTGGCAGCAGTCCACATACTTGGGCCTTCTTACACTGCTTTCCCAGGCAGGCACTCATCTGGGCATTCAGAATACCAGCATCATAGGCAGTGGCTTGACCTGCTGTGCCACATCACCAACCTCCTTGAGAATGGAGATGGCTTCAATAAAATATCAGATCTCTTAATATAGACTTTTTTTTCTCAGATTTGTCTACTATATATTTCAAACTTGTTACATTTAACTCATTACCATTGCTTTCCCATGCTGCTTGTCCTCAAAACAAAAGCAGTTTATTCCCTCACAGTTGTAGAGGCCAGCAGTTGGTTGGCCACACTCCCTCTGGAGGCCATGGGACTTAAAGAAGTATTCTGGTCTCTCGCAGCTTCTGGTGGTGTCTGCTACATCCCTTGACTTTTGACTCCTTGCCACTCTTCTCTGGTCATACTGCCTTCTCCTCTTCTGTTGTCAGTCTGTTTGCCTTTCTCTTATTGAGGATGTCTGGGATGCCATTTAGGGCATGCTCATACATTGAGAATAATCTCCACTTGTCAAGACATTTATCTTACTGGTATCTGTAAAGCACCTTTTTTCCCCACCATGAACATTAACATTCCAGGTCGCAGGCATTAGGATGTAGGTATCGTTAAGGGAGCTATTTGGGCTGCCGTATTCTTTCTTTCTTTCTTTCTTTTTTTCTTTTTTCTTTTTTTTTTTGCAAAGTCAGATATACAAGAGGAGGAGAGATAGAAAGTAAGATCATCTATCCACAGGTTCACTCCCCAAAAGGCTACCACAGCCAGAGCTGAGCCAATCCAAAGCCAGGAGCAAGGAGCTTCTTTTGGATCTCCCACATGGGTGTAGAGTCCCAAGGTTTTGGGCCGTCCTTGACTGCTTTCCCAGGCCACAGGCAGGAAGCTGGATGGGAAGCGGGGCCGCCGGGATTAGAACTGGCACCCATATGGGATCCCAGTGCATGCAAGGCGAGGACTTTAGCAGCTAGACTACCATGCCAGGCCCTGAGTGCCTGGTTTCAAGCCTTGGCTCTGCTTCTGGTTTCAGCTTCCAGCTAACATCACCCTGGATGTCAGATGATGGCTCAAGTGCTTGAGTCCCTGGCACCCACATTGTGGGTACCTCAGATTGAAGTACTGTGTCTTGGTTTCGAGCTGGCTCAGTTCTAGCTGCTACAGGGTGTTGCAGACTTTTAAGGGTGAACTAGTAGAAGAGATATTTTTCTGTCTTTCAAATGAGTGAAATAAACATACATTTTTCCCAGGTGCATTAACAGGAAGCTGGATCAGAAGCAGAGCGGCCAACATTTGAACTGGCATTCTGATAAGGGATGCTGGCATCGATGACACATGGATGTTACCTAGTCAGACATCCTCATACTGGCTCTCCACGTAGTTATATTGACATAACATGAAATTATAGTTGCAGTGTTTACTTTAGATAATAGATCAATGCTATTTCCTACTTCTTTACCTATTTTGTTAGCACAGTAATTTTAAATTTGTTACATAAGCATATTATGTAATATTAAAGTTTTATTGCAGCAGGTTTGTATAAGTTGTGTAATATGATTTTCAAACCAAAATTGCTTTTTCTTTCCACCACAGAGAACTTGAGAATATTGTCATTAGGAAGAAACAACATAAAGAACTTAAATGGACTGGTAGGTTGTTGTTTATGATTAAGCACATCTTTTTTCCCACCGGTACGAAGATAATGCTTGTGCATTGGAGAAACTTTACAAACTGAGTAGAAATTGCACTTCCCAAATTGTTTTGCATCTAATTTTTTACTCCTTATGTAAATATTATGTTATTTATTCAATAAAATCATAGTTCTTAACTAGTTAAGCCTGGCACTACACCTAGAGGTACAGCTGAGTATGGAGTGAAAACGTTACTCTCACAATGAGTACTTACTTACACGACAGTGGAAGAAGACAGGCTGAAAGGTAAGTGTGTACTACGCTGGAGTGACAGCTGCCATGCAGGGAAATAAATGCAGACTGATGAGAAGTCCTCTCCGAAAGTAAGGCTGTAGGCTGTAGACCTAAGTGGACAAATGCTCCAGGCCGAGCAGACAGCGGTGGAATGTCCCAGCCGTGGAGCTGTGGGCCATGCTTGAGTAAGAGGAGTTGAGGGGACACAGGTGTCGGGGCACATAGCAACTGCTAAGGCTGTGATAAGGGTTAGGTGTTATTTCTAAATGACTTGCAAATCCATTTAAAGGTTTCTAATGAGAGGTATAACTTACATTTTGAAAATACTGATGTTTTGATAGGCAACTTAAATTGCTCCTGCAATGCTTATGTTGGTTTAAATTTCCATTGGTGATATTTCTGTATTTCTAACCACTTTAAATTTTTATTTAAGATTTATTGTATTTGTCTTATTTATTAGTTAAAAGACTTGATCTTTTTAACTACACTAATTGTAAATGAATTTTTAAGATATGCTATGTATGAATTACATATGCATTTGTATATCATATTTATTTATTCTTTTATTCTTTTTGAAAGGCAGAGAAACCGAGACAGAGAGAGGGAGATCTTTCACCCACTTGTTCACTCCCCAAATGCTTGCAACAGTGGGGGCTGGGCCAGGCTGCAGGCAACAGCCAGGAAGTCCGTTTTGGTCTCCCTGGTTGATGGAAGCCACCTTCTACTGCCTTCCCAGGCATATTGAATGTGGAAAGCTGAGACTAGTGTCCCAATACGGGACACTGGTTTTGAAGGCAGTAGCTTAGTCCGTTATGCCACCACACCGGTCCCCTCGCTTCAGCATCATTGAGTGCTATTCAGTATTTTAAATATCTGTCAATATGATAGGCAAAATGGAAAATACTTGTGTTTTAGTTTACATTATTTAGTTAGTTATGACTTTGAGCATTATAAATCATACATATTTTATCTTTTGGTGATTGATGAAACATATTTTTATCCGTTTTTCTATTGGCTTTATCTTTTTCTTAATGGATTCTGGATAGTATTTAGTATTGCTAAAAATTATCCATTGCTGAATGTGTTCCCACTATTACATTTGCTTTTGCAGTTACTATTAGTTAAATATGGAGCAGGCTTTTATTTAATAAATATTATATCAGACACACATCAAGTACATGCTGTTATTGCTCACTTTTTAAAAGATTTATTTATTTTTTATTGGAAGTCAGATATACAGAAAGGAGGAGAGGCAGAAAGATCTTCCATCTAGTTTACTTTCTTTTTTTTTTTTAAGATTTATTTATTTTTATTACAAAGTCAGATATACAGAGAGGAGGAGAGACAGAGAGGAAGATCTTCCATCCGATGATTCACTCCCCAAGTGACAGCAGTGGCCAAACTGCACTAATCTGAAGCCAGGATCCAGGAACATCTTCCAGGGTCCCAAGGCTTTGGGCTGTCCTTGACTGCTTTCCCAGGCCACAAGCAGAGAGCTGGCTGGGCAGTGGAGCAGCCTGAAAACAAACTGGTGTCCACATGGGATCCCGACACATGTAAGGTGAGGATTTAGCCACTAGGCCATTGCACCAGGGCCTATACTTCTCATTTTAAGATCCAGAAGCTATCACTCATGATGGAGAAGTGAACAGGCACTCTTCAGCAGTTGGTGAACAGATACCCAAGTCCTAAATGGGCATTTACTGGTCCTGACTTTTCTATATCTAGGAGTTTTAGATCAGCTACTTTGCTTGCGATGGTCTGAATGTCTTATCAATAGTGAACTGTCAATAGTGCATCAAGGGAAACAAAAAGTAGAGCTTACCTGTATGCGCTGAAATGGAATAATTGGCAAGATCCATTATTAAATGGCAAAAAAAAAAGCAAAGTAGATATTTATATTTATAGACCTGCATACAATATTTCAAGAGACAAAAGGACTGATTAAAAAATCACATGACCTGGCATGTACCAAGATGGGCTCTAAATGTGTGTCCCAGCTGCCCTACTTCCCATTTTGTTCCCTGTGTGCCCTGGGAAAACAATTGAAGATGCCCCAAAGCCTTGGAACCCTACACCCACATGAGAGACCCGAAAAGGCTCCTGGCTTCAGATCGGCTCAGCTCTGGCTGTTGCAGCCACTTGGGGAGTCAATCAGAGGACGGAAGATCTTCATCTTTTTCTCTCCTTCTTGCTGTAAATCAGACCTTCCAATTAAAAAAAAAAAAAATCTTTAAAAAAAAAATCAACATGTGAGTCCTATTGATTTCTTTTTCAGGAAGCAGTGGGGGATACATTGGAGGAACTTTGGATTTCCTACAATTTTATAGAGAAGTTAAAAGGGATACATGTGATGAAGAAACTGAAGATTCTCTACATGTCTAACAACCTGGTGAAAGACTGGGGTAAGCCCTTCACCAGCCTTCCGCCTCTGTTAATAGAAACTAACCCAACGGGGAGTTACAAAATGGGAGCATTTACCTCTAAACACACAGGAATGGCCAGAGGGCTTCTTATATTTTCTATAGAAGTAACTCTAGGAGTTCTTAACTTTTGAATAGTTAAATTTTTGTATTTAAATGCTTACTGATAATTATTATAATTGGCTAGATCTAGTTCTATTTAATTATGAAAAATACAGTTTATTGTTCAAAGGCTGAAGAAATCTTATATCTCATAATTCCTGGGTAGAAGATATATATCTGCCGTCTATGTTGATTTGCTTTTTTAAATTACATATTCACTCTACATTTACACAATTCACCGTTACATGCCCTGCAAATACATGAGAGTTCATTGAGCAAGGATTCTGCCTCTGTCCTCAGGGAGTTCACAGCAGGGTGGAGGAATGACATTTTTTTTAAAAGGATTTATTTATTTTTATTACAAAGTCAGATATACAGAGAGGAGGAGAGACAGAGAGGAAGATTTTCCATCCGATGATTTACTCCCCAAGTGACAGCAACGGCCGATGCGATGCTGATCCGAAGCCAGAATCCAGGAACCTTCTCCAGGTCTCCCACATGGGTGCAGGGTCCCAAGGCTTTGGGCTGTCCTCCACTGCTTTCCCAGGCCATAAGCAGGGAGCTGGATGGGAAGTGGAGCTGCCGGGATTAGAACCAGCATCCATATGGGATCCCGGCGCATTCAAGGCAAGAATTTTTGCTGCTAGGCCATGACGCTGAGCCCAGGAATGACAATTTTTTATGAGCTAATAATTATAAAACTATATGTAAGCCCTGCAATAAAAATTTAAATAAATTGCTTTCACAGTTCAAAGAGGGGCCAGTTCTGGGGCATTGCAGATAAAGCTGCCACCAGTGGTGTTGGCATTCCATATAACTGCTAGTTCAGTCCTGGCTGCTCCATTTCATATTCAGTTCCCTGCTGATGCACCTGGGAAAGCAGTAGAAGCTGGCCTAAATGCTCGGGCCTCTGCACCCACATGGGAGACTCAGAAGAAACTTCTGGCTGCTGGCTTCAGACAAGCCCTGCCCCAGCCGTTGGAGCCATCTGAGGAGTGAATCAGCAGATAGAAGACCTCTTTTTTTGCTGTTTGCAACTCTGCCTTTCAATTAAACAAATCCTCAAAACAATTTTTTTCAAAGAAATTGAAAAACCCTTTCATAGTTTAACTTAGCCCACACTGATGGAGCGCACAACGTTGGGATGCCCCGTAACTGGAGCCTGATTTGTTGCTGCACTTGACTGAGCATCAGGTCACCTTATTCCAACCCTTGGCTAGCATCAGCAGTAGAAGTATGTATTCTAAACCCCTCCTACCCCATAACGTCTTCAGAGACTGATTCTGTATAATATGAATTTCCCAAACCCTTTGGAAAATCTTAAACAACTGAGTGTCCTGACTAGTCACAAATGAGGAGCAGTGGTATTGAAATGTAGTGCTGTTTTGAGTGTGGAAAATTCTCTTTGTGCTTGTAGCTGAATTTGTGAAGCTGGCGGAACTGCCGTGCCTGGAAGACCTCGTGTTTGTAGGCAACCCCTTAGAAGAGAAGCATTCAGCAGAGAGCAACTGGATTGAAGAGGCAACAAAGAGGGTGCCCAGGCTGAAAAAGCTGGATGGTAAGTGACACTGAGTGGTCAGAAACGTCCTCCGGGTTAAAACAATAATAATAATGAATCTGTGGAATTGGATCATGAAAAGGAACAAAACTAAAGAAAATTATCTTGAAAGTCATTTTCTGTCCATATTAAATTTAATATTCTAGGTCTGGGCTGGAGTGAGATAAAACAAAACAAAAAAATTGCTAGCATATTTATACTGGCGTAAGATCAGCCCTATGTGGACACTTATTAGAAAAGTAGACTTGGGGGCCCAGCCCAATGGTTCGGTTGACTAATCCTCTGCCTGCAAGTGCTGGTATCCCATGTAGGCACCAGTTCGTATCCTCCTGTCCATTTCCCTGCTAGTGGTCTGGAAAAGCAGCAGAGAATGGCTAATGTCATTGGGACCCTGCACCCACCTGGGAACCTAGAATAAGCTCCTGGTTTCAGATCGGCTAATCTCCAGCCGCTGCAGCCATGTAGGAGTGAGCCAGTAGGTGGAAGATCTCTCCGTGTGTGTCTCCTCCCCTGCCTTTCAGAAAGAAAAAAAAATCTTAAAACTAAAAAAGAAAAAAAAAAGTAACTTATTCTCAGGTTACAAAGGTATGATTTTGTAGAATAATTAAACATCAATTGTAAGCAGATGCTTTTTCACAATTGAATCAGAATTGCAGCATTTGCTTTCCCTTTCTCTTAACTGCCCTGTTACACACACACACACACACACACACACACACACACACACTCCCTCCCCAGCACCTGAGACTGATGTTCATGTGGCAGGTGCTCTTGACTGACTGAGTTAAATTCTACCACCTAGTAATTTTTGTAACATTGTGCTAGTTAACCTCATTAAACCTTTTTTGTAATCTAAAATTTGGGTGTGATGATAATTCCATTAGAAATTATTTTTTGGGCCTGGCACCGTGGCCTAGCAGCTAAAGTCCTCGCCTTGAATGTCCTGGGATCCCATATGGGCGCCGGTTCTAATCCTAGCAGCTCCACTTCCCATCCAGCTCCCTGCTTATGGCCTGGGAAAGCAGTGGAGGACAGCCCAAAGCCTTGGGACCCTGCACCCATGTGGGAGACCTGGAAGAGGTTCCTGGTTCCCAGCTTCAGATCAGCATCGCATCGGCCGTTGCTGTCACTTGGGGAGTGAATCATCGGATGGAAGATCTTCCTCTCTGTCTCTCCTCCTCTCTGTATATCTGACTTTGTAATAAAAATAAATAAATCTTAAAAAAAAAAGCAATTATTTTTTAACGTAATTGTTATTGGAAGCAACATTGTAACATAGTAAAGTTGTTGCTTGAGTTATGTTCTTTATTGGAGTGCTGGTTTAAGTCCTGGGTGCTATACTTTTTTTTTTTTTCTTAAGATGTATTTATTTTTATTGAAAAGAGATACACAGAAGAGATACAGAGAGAAAATCTTGCATCCATTAGTTTACTCCCCAACTGGCTGCAATGGCTGAAGCTGAGCTGATCCAAAGCCAGGAGTCAGGAGTTTCTTCTGGGTCCCCCGAGTGGGTGCAGGATCCTAAGGCTTTGGGCGATCCTCTATTCCCCTCTCTGGCCACAGGCAGGGATCTGGATGGGAAGTGGAGCAGCCGGGGTATGAATCAGTGTCCATATGGGGTCCTTATGGCAGCAAGGCGAGGATTTAGTCACCAGGCATTGTGCCAGGCCCAGCTGATCTGGTTTTGACCCAGCTCCCTGCTAATGTACCTGGGAAAGCTGTAGAGGATGGTCCAGGATGTTGAGTCCCTGCCACCTGATGATGCTCCTGGCTCTGAATTTGGGGGCCTAAACAGAGAAGCATTTATTTTCCAATTTTGAGAGATTTCTTAAGAATATTCAAAACTAAAAATTATTTTATGAAATCATTTATTTTTCAATTATTTATATATTTATTTGAAAGAGCTATATATAGAGAGAAAAAGAGAGATATCTTTCATCTGCTGATTGGCTCCCCACATGGCCACAACAGCGAGGGCTGGGCCAGGCCAAAGCCAGCAGCCTAGAGCTTCAAATGGGTCTCCCATGTGGATGGCAGGCACTCAAACACTTGGGCCAACTTCCTCTGCTTTTCCAGTGCTTTAACAGGGAGCTGGATTAGACATGGAGCAGCCAGGACTCCAAGCCGTGCTCAGAAGGGATGCCTGTCTCCCAGATGACAGGCTAACTTGCTGTCCCTCATCCTACAAGCCTCCCAGGTACACCTCCCGGACCTCAGAGCTTCCCAGGTGGACGCAAGACTATTCTGACTTGAACAATCTGTTGAGAGGGACTAGAAGTAAGTTTCTCTTTTTGTTTTCAGGTACTCCAGTAATTAAAGAAGATGAGGAAGAAGAAAACTAACACCCTATTTTCTACTTTGCATTAACTTATTTAAATATCATAAGAACAATAGATAAGTTTTATAAAATTATCTATTTTAAAGATTCCGTCTTGGGCAAAAGGTTCTTAAGATAAAAACCATCTCTCATGTCTGCCATTTTCCCTTCACCTAGTTGATATTTCTCCTTGAAACTGGTAACTCCGTACTAGCCCTCCTGGAAATCATAGATCCTCCGTTGTCCTCAGTCCTGGTTCCGAACCTCGTGGCCCCATCACTGATACCTTTATCGACCAATCACCTTGTAAGAACAAAGAGATAGACATTTTTATTTGGCTTGTTTAGTTATGGGTTTGTTTTTTTTTTTTTTTTCATAAGGCATTTTAATATATGTTCTTTTGGAACTACTGTAGAACCTTGTCCCCAGAGGTCTGTCTCAGAAGCGCAGCTGTTTTCTGCCTCCGGTTCGGAAGGCAGCAGTGGTGAGGAGGGTGCCTCTGTGCCACACAGCAACAGCCCTGCCTGGGAGAGGACTGAAGGTAGGGGAGGGAAAGCCAGTCTCCCGGAAGCCTGCCAGCCCACGTAGTATTTACCTGTTGTTTTTCTTAACAACAAAGTGTGCATTCTCAACTGGAATTTAGCCTGTGTTTTCACATATGTCATGTCATTCTGCTATCCAGGCCAGTGGTTAAACTATGACAACCATTTTCTTGGCCCTGTTACTCATGTATCACTGTCTGTTAGCACATTTTCTGGCTAACAGTTCGTTATACGTTTAAAGCAGGAGGTATATTTAAATTCCTTCTCTGACCAGTAAAACAGGAGGTATATTTAAATTCCTTCTCTAACCAGTGGCCATTGGCATATATTAAAATTTGCCCTTATGATTTGGTCTGGTGGCTCTCAGTGCTGAAACAAGTAGTTGCTATGGTTATATAAGGGTACATATTTAAACACTACCTTCAGCACCTTTCAGTAAATGAAACAGTATTTCAGAATTTTTTTTTTTTTGAGAAGTTCTAAGTTAAACAGTTCTGAAAATGTATCATGTAAGTGCAGAAGGAGAGAGAAAGAGGTATGGTCCTTCAGGACAGCAGACAAATGGCAATAAATTTGAGGCTCCTGGCCTACATGAAACATTGTAGGTATTTAACCTCAGCATTGCAAAGCAATAGGGAGATGCAGAGGTTAGAATGTATTAAGGAAGAAAAGAATTATTTTATGGAAAATGAAAGTCGTTCTAAGCAAGCAGGTGAAGTTGGCAGAGGATCATGGCTGAACTGCTATACGGAGGAGAAGGAGAAGTCGGGCCCTCTGCCACGTTGTGCCTGAAGTCCCTTGGCCAGAGCTTGTGGATTCTGGTTTGCTTATCCATTCTGGGATTGCTGCGTGCACAAAATCACAGTGAGTGCAGGGGTGGGGAGTATTTCAGGATAATTGCATAGTGGGGTTTCAGAACTTTTCAGCTCTCATTGAGACAGGGCTGACAGTTGCTCGCAGTTCCTCTAATCAGAAGGGACCACTGCTTTGACAATCAGCACTAAGTGTTAGTAGGAAAACTTGGTGTCGCACCTTTTTAGCTTCCTTTTTAGCTCTTTCAGTCTGACAGGAAGAAACCTTCACCTTGACTGGCTTTCAGACAGTTCTGAGAAACCACAGGCAGGCCATCGCTTGCTTGCAAGGTTCGCACGCTGCGAGGAAGGATGAGCTGCTTCATTGGTAGTCTGCGCTTCACCCAGTAGGCAATCTTGAAGCCTTATTGCTACGTGAGGGTGTGTTTTCTGAACGTTGAACCTGGAGGTGAGAATAAAAGAAAATGCATGAGTTCATGCTAGATTTATTGGTAAATGACATGGTTTTGGCATTTGGATCTTTTAAAAAAAAATTCTGTAATATAGAAATTGATTTTCCGTCTGTTTTTAAATGCCTTTTAGTCACTGGTGGTCTTCAGAGAAATGTAAGGTGCTTATTTGTGTTCATTTTATTTAGCAAGTATATGAATGACTTCTATGCATGCTTATTCTTGCAGTACAAGTTTAGAACCCGTGTAATTAGGAAAGGCAGGGTATAAAAATCAGTATATTCGCTCAAATCATTCCTTCAGTCATCCTCTGATGCTGCAAATTTAGCTGATAGTAAATTCCTTTGGCTTATGCCACTTGAATTAGGTATTTGGTTAGGTGCATGGAGTAGATTTTCAGCGTGCTTCTAGTTTAAAAACATTAAACCATTTTAGTGGGCTGTTTGAATTTCTGACTTCTGTTCTCATGAGTGTGGAAGCAGCCCATGATTTTCATTTATTCACAGCTAATTTTATGTTAGTCTTTCAAACCTTTCAGCTTTCCTATGTTCCCTAACACTCGACTTACGGCTGTGGAATCTGAACAGGTCTTTGAAGATGTTGATCTTCTCTGTTAGTTTCTGCTTTTAAACCAGAAGTTCTCAAGCTGGACACTGTTAGCATTTGGGGCTGCAGGAGTCCCTGGTCAGAGCAGGAAGGAGGCTCCCATGTATCCGAGGTCACATAGCAGTGTCCCTGATCTTGTTCTAGAGGCTCGTGGCACCCTCTGCCCATCTGCAGACATTGCAGTCTGTGTCAAGGGACAAGGAAGTGGGCACAGATGATCACTTGGTTAAGAACCCGTGTTTTTGACAGCCAGCATTCCTTTTCTCCAGAGGCCCTGAAGTCGTTACCTGTAAGAGTGTGTGCTTGTGTTTAGTAGCCACAGATGGAAGGAAATGGCCACTGGCATCTGTCTGTTTTGTACCGCTCATTTATGTAATTTTCACTTATTAGAAACTCAGGGCTGGGAGGTTTAACTTCAGCAGGTTCTCAACTTTTGTTTCTTAGTGTTGTTGCTTATTTTAGGACAGCAATTATTAACCTACCTCTCTGTTACTACGAACAGAATCCAGCTTTATGAGAATTTTTTTTACTTTGTCTCTAAAGTTAAATATTTTGAGTATTTTTTAGAAGATGGTTCATCATTCTTGGCTGTTTGTCTGATTACACAGATTGTGTAGATGCTGGCGATAGTTAGGAACAGAAAACTGCTGGCAAAATTTTGGCTGTTGTGCATGAAAGCTGGTGTTCCCATCAGTTTTTGGTGTTTGACTACCTGGTGTGGTTGCTGGATCCTTTCTGTGTATTACAGGGGCCACATAAGTCAATTAGATTTGGTTGTAGTGTGGGAAGAGATTTTAGCTGGACTGTAGCTCCCTTCTGATGCCTTTTACCAGCACCCTAAGACCAAATGAGAAAAGAAAAAATGCCTTTTGCCTGTTGCTTCAGAGTTGGGGATGTGTAAATGAAACGGGAATCCTCTCCGTGACTTCACAGGACTCCAGGGAAAAGCACAGGGCCCAGGAAGCCTGGACTCAGTCATCGGTTTAACAACACTGAGGCAGAGTGTTAAAGGATCTCTCATGAGTGTGTCGCGGACCGCAGCCTGAGCAGGCATTCGCTAAGGCTTTATGCTTGATGTTGAGAGAGGGATGAGATACTCAACCGCAAATTATCCTGTCGCAAAAACGAATTTCATTCCTTTGGCACGTATTTCCTTTATTTGGGCAGTTTGCTGTGTTTATAAATATAGAGCAAGATTCAATGTAGCAGATTCGGTGCTTTGTCTGATGCTTCGTCTGATCCAGCTAACGTGACTGTTTTCCTTTATCTCCACTCCAGCATGCATCACACTTGTTTCTTTTTGTAAAATTAATTCTAAAGTAGGAGTAATTTTCAAATGGAGGATTCTGTTTTAAAATCTCTGAACTTCAAAAAAAATTTTTTTTTTTTTATCTTTTATCTGAGAGGCAGAGAAACATAGACCAGTCTCCTTGGTGCACTCCCCAGATGCCTGCAGTGGCCAGGGCTGGCAGGCCAGGAGCTGGGAATTGAGCCCTCCCTGCTGCCTCCCAGGGTGTGCACCAACAGCAAGCTGGAATCAGGAGCCAGAACTCAGAGTCAAACCCTGGGTGCTCTTGATGTGGGACATGGTGTCTTCATATGAACCTGTGTCTTCCCTGCTAGGCCAGCATCCCTGAACTTTCAGAGATGTCATATCTATATCTTTATTCTTGCCTTTTTATAAATAAGTGACTGCAAAAGAAGAACACCAAAACATTAGAACATGTTACCTTTTCTAACTTAAATTAGTGAAAGTTTCCATGTAACCCTTGGAGAGGTCATAACTGGATTCCAGATGATTTCCCATCCAGGGTACGGGCCATCCAAATTATGACCTAGCCAGCTGAACAAGGGAGTGGGAGAAAATAAAAACTATTTTCAGTAGATTTGCACTTTAAAGTTATGGACTGGATGTTGGTGGGAAGTGCTTTCAGAGGCCAGATGGGTAAACCCCTGCCTTGCGCATGGGTGTTGAAATCCAGCCTCACCCTCGCTTATTCCCATGCCTACATGAGCAGTGGCTTTCATGGGCAAAATCATCTTCGTGTCTGCCACATCCAAGACTGTCCCCTCTGAGGGATGTTGTCGAGTGGTTATACTCAGAATAAAAATTATTATATTTCTTATGTCTCAATTAAAAAAAAAATGGAGTTGTTGGCTAAATTGAGTCATGTGGCTGGGGAGCCCTTTGTTTCTTGGGTGGGTGGGGTACCTCCCTGCCCCAGGGTCTGCAGTCCCAACCACAGACCTGCAAGGGAGAAGCCAGAGAGAATGGCCAGCTGTTTCCCCCAGACTGCTGGTTATGATTGCTAGCACCACTCCAAGATCTCTGGCTTCTAGAATCGACTCCATCCTGATGGACATTGTAGCGTATACTTTGCTAATAATCTTTTTATACACAGGAAATTTTGTAGCATGACTTTATGACTAAACTTATTGTTGTTAAATTATTTAGAAATGTTGAGTTCCTGAATGTTATTTTGTGAGATTTGTTTGAAAAATAGTAATAAATTGTGTTATTTTATAAAAAAAAAAAATGAATCTGTATCTTCTTGGGTTAAGTGATCCTTCTTAGTTTTATCTACAGTAGAGAAACTCTGTGAACTTTAAGTGACACGCAAATCCAATTTGTACAGTAGAGAGATTAATTTACTCATGCTGATTTTTCCGGTAGTCTCTGGGCACCATTTCAAGTGATGCTGTGGAAAGAACGCTGACGGGGACAGCAGGTTGCAGCTGTGTTCACTGTTCCTTACCCACACCTCCCATCCGGAAGCCCACAGGTGAAGATTTCCACGGGCTCTGGAATTGAGCCCCACAAATAATCTGGCAGCATCAGTAACATTGCACAGTTTACTAACATGTGTTCTGTGCTACCTGCCAAAATGTAGTGTTGGTCCCAGAACAGTATAGTGCTATTTCTTCCAGAGTTCTTTGATTATGAGGATACAGGTTTTCTTACCACCGTTCTCCAAACCTATAAAGAAAAAAGCCTTGATTTGGGCCATAAAACAGCTCATCGGTGTTTTTAGCTTTTTTTTTTACAACAAAGGATGGACATCTAAAGTCTTGATTTTTAAAAAAGATTTCTTTTTATTTGAAAGGCAAACTTTCAGAGAGGAGAGACAGAAAGATCTTCTATCCTCTGTTTTACTCCCCAAGTGGCCACAATGGGCAGAGCTGATGATTTGAACCGGGAGCCAAGATCTTCAAGGTCTCCCACACAGGAACAGGGTTCCAAGGCTTTGGGCCATCCTCCACTGCTTTCTCAGGTCGCAAGCAGGGAGCTGTATGGGAAGTGGAGCATCCAGGAAACAAACCAACACCCACATGGAATGTCAGGACTTACAGGCAGGGGATTAACCAATTGAGCCCTCATGCTGTTTCCTAAAGAATTTTTTTAAGATGTATTTTTATTGGAAAGTCAGATTTCTAGAGAGAAGAGACAGATTTTCCAGCTGTTTGGTTTATTCCCCAAATGGATGCAACAGCATGAGCTGAGCTCATCTGAAGCCAGGATCCTGGAACTTTGCTGGGTCTCCTGTGTGGGTGCAGGGTCCCAAGCCTTTGGGACATCCTTGACTGCTTTCCCAGGCCACAATCAGAGAGCTGAAAGGGAAGTGGAACAACCAGGATACGAATTGGCACCCATATGATATACCAATGTGTGCAAGGCAAGGACTTTAGTCACTAGGCTACCGTGCCAGTCCCAAAGTCTTGACTTTTTAAACATTAGTTATTTGAAAGAAACAATGAAAGCAGCATGGGATCACTCCCCAAATGCCAACCACAACCAGAGCTGAAACTCTGGGTTGGCATGTCAGGGGCAGGGGCTCACCTCCCACCTCCCAGAATGCATTAGCTGGAAGCTGGATGAGGATTCAGAGCTTGAAGCCACACACTCCAGCATGGGGTGTGGGTGTCACAGGTGACATGTTAATCAGTGTGCTGAATGTCCACCCCAACATTTGTGTATTTCATGTGCAAGGGTGCTTCAAACAGTTCATAAAAATGGAATTAAAGTTTACTTTAGCACAGAAAATTGTTGAAATCCATGCATAGTTTTTCATTATACACATTTTCATGAATAGCTTAAAGGCTCTTTATATGCAAGAATTTGAAAAACTTTTGCATCAAATTATTTTTTAATTCCATTTTCCATGATCTTTTTGAAGTATACTCAATACAAGGCATAGTGATACAAGCGTTATGTAGTTAAATGGACTCTTAGGTACTACCCTCCTGGAATGCAAGCAATTTGAAGGGTATTAAATTATATCCTGTGCACAGAGAAGGATGCCTAAAATAATGGGCAGAAAATAACCAATTTCTGGTTTTTTATTTTTGGTGACTTTTACATAGTTGATTAGGATGCATAGAGTCAAGGGCTAGAAGAAAGTAAGACCATTGTTTCCACATTCTCTTCCTTCTTATATCTGGGGGAAGGGGAGAGACAAGGGGAGAAATAAAAAATATAAAAAGGGAAGGGCAAACAACTACTTCTAGATTTCTTCTGCAACCTGTTTTTAGGATATTGTACATTTTGTTTGTAATATGGTATTTAATACATCTATTTATGATCTAGCATTAGCCTTGAAGAAAACATAAAAGTTGGGGCAGAAGCTGGCATGACGGTTCAACTTGCAAGCACCAGGATCCCAAATGAGCACCAGTTCACGTCCTGGCTGCTCCACTTCCCATCCAGCTCCCTGCTTGTGGCCTGGGAAAGCAGTCGAGGACAGATCTAAGCCTTGGAACCTTGCACCCATGTGGGAGACCCAGAAGAAGCTCCTGGTTTCTAATCACCTCAGCTCCGGCCGTTAGTGCCACTTAGAGAGTGAACCAGTAGAAGGAAGATCTTTGTCTCTCCTTTCTGTGTAAATTTTCCTTTTCAATAAAAATAAATCTTTTTTTTTAAAAAAGCATAGAAGTGGGTACATTAAGAGGCATTGCAACTTAAACACACAAAGTGGGAGTTCTCTATCATTTTTTTAGGTTGAAGAGGTTTGTTCTTTATGACATAGGGGAAAGTCTTCAGAGAAAAGTAAATACATCTTACTCAATTATGCTGAAAATTTTAAAACCTGTCAGAAAAACTAGGTGTCACTGGATTTTTTTACAATATTTTATTCTAATACACTTGTTGATAACTTCAAATTTAGAACACTTATAATCAGCATGAACAGGAACTATTTTTGACAAAGATTGGAATGGGAAAGGGGAATGGATTACTGGAACTGGTTCATCCCAGTCTCCCCCGTGATTGTTGTTTGTGGTACATGCCTGACCGTGTACGACTCCATACTTGCCATACCTTTCCAGTGCCCCATTTTGTATTCTGAGAACTTTAAGTTATACTGACTCAGCTCTTTAAAGATGAGAAGTAAGAAATCTGCACTGTCAACTGGAATGATTTCGTTCCATTACTATGTACACAAGGAGCAAGTTACAAATAACTCAATACAAACTAACGACACTATTGGTGACAATGTAACAGTTCACATGTTTACTGGACATTTCCTGAATCTGCACATGCAATTTCTGAATGGGAGGAGTCACAGGTTCACATTTCTCAAGACCCGGGACAGCTTGCAGTGCAGCCAGCAAACCCATTATTATCATAGCAGCCCTGATGCTCTTTGCGCAATTTTAGCAAGATCACACGAACAGGCAGGTCAAAATGTCCAAATCCCTCTCCCCACCAAAGAAAAACACAGCAAAAACAGGACACAGCTAGGTCTTTTGTTTTACTACTGAGGACACACCTGTTAGGGACAAGGAAAGCAGCTGCGTGCCAGGTCTGCACCGACCCATTTCCTGCGCCTCAGAAGTGCCCCTCCAGTCCCAACTGCAGGAGGGCAGCCTCGGCCTCCTCCGCCTCCTCCTTGGCCTCCTCCTCGCGGATCTGCACCAGCAACTGGAAGAGGTTTGGGGCCCGTTCCTCCGTAGCCACGGTCAGCCAGAGTTGCCTTCGGATGGTCCCGCTGTGGTTGGCCCCAGCAATGACCTGCTCCAGACGGGCCTGATTCACGTTATCCTTATCAATGGCACCCTTTTCCACTACTTTCTGCAGCAGGGGCTCCAGGCGGATGACGTAAGCGGAGAGCTTCTCTCCCGGGTTCTGGTAAGTGTTCAGAAACCTGACCTGCGCATCCCTAGAGCTCTCCACGCTTCCAAACACCTGCTCCAGTGCCTTCAGGCATTCAGCGGTGGTTATCGCGGGGTTGCTGGTCTTGAGGATGCGAATGAGATCCGCGGCAGGACCCCTAAGACTCTCGATCAACCTTCGCCTCTTTTCTACGTCAGACACCTGCCATTCCTCTATGACGTCATTGGTGTGCTCTAGCCATGAGTCGAAGGTCTCCTCTCCAGGCCCGGGGACGTCCCTCCCCGAGAACAGCGTCAGCTTCTTGTACCATATGGATTCCACAAGAGGCTGGATCACATTATCCAAGATATAGTTGAGCATCTCGGTTGGCATTTCGGGACCCGGGGTTGGGGCCGGGGCCGGGGCGGGGTTCTGAAACCCAAGGACACGGGCAACATCTTGCACGGTCCACCCCTCACGAGCTAGGAAGAGGTGCAACCTTTCTAAAAATTCAGCATCCGACGTAGGGGGTTTAAAAATCACTTTCCACATCCCTCCTTTGCCTGGCATCTCCCTGGGGATCGCGGCATAATCCACCGCGCCAGTGAGCTCTAATAAGGCTGCTTTAGCATTCTCTTCCCTCCAGAACATTCTCCCAAGTACCCGATAGGGCACCTGGGGCATCGCAGCCTGGAGGGTCTCTTCGATTTCAGCCTCATCACAGTTCACCGGGATCCCCCAAACCAGCAGAGCTCTCTGCGAGTTCACATCCATCCCCCTGCACCAATCTTCCAACAGCGCCATCGCCATTTTTCCCCAACTAGCAAGTGAGCCAATTCTACAGAGAACGGATTAGGCTGCGGCTCACCGGACGCCGACCCAGACCAAGAGTAGACACTCTCCTCAAGCAAGCCCGCGGGCGGCGAGTTCCACGCGATCACCAAGAGCACCACAGCCCCGATCGGGCCCTCTCCCTGTTCCCCCAAAGTCAGTCAGGCGTCTGTCGCCATCTTGCGCCTCGGACCGGGGACTGCGGCCGGGGTTCGCTGCCCGCCGAGGAGGGCGGCCGGCCTAGGCAGGGCCCGGGGTGTGGTCGCGGGGCGTGACCGTGGGTCCGAGCCAGGCCTTCAGGCGTGCGGGCGAGAGATCCTGTCCGACGTCGCCGCGGCCGCAGCTGCTTCTCGAACAGCCAAGACACACCTCCCTCGGGCTCCCTTCCTGTGGACGGCGAGGACGGCCGAGAACTGAGGTCTAAGGCAGCCAAGACGCCGTCAGGGTGGAGGCGAAGACTAACGGGGACGGCCGGCGCGTCCCGCAGCCGCCAGCCGGGGCGTTGCCGCCGCAGAGGAAGGGCGGGGCCGGCCCGCGAGCCGCGGCCGCTTCACCCGGTGCAGCCCAGGTGGCGGAGGCGCGCGGGGTAGCCATGGCAACGGTGTCCCGGACGACGCGCTCAGTCGGCGCCCGTTGGTGCTGGTGGGGGGGAGGCGCGCCGTTGCCATGGCACCACTGAGGGACGCAGGTCCTTTTGCCGCCTCTGATGGCGCAAATCCTTTTTCCTATGTTCGCAGCTTTTTCTTTGACAATGCAAAAGTGCCAGTAAACAGCATGGCGCTTTTTTTTTTTTTTTAAATATATTCTGAAATGGACTGGAGATGCTGGTGAATACGCCGCATCTTCCCTGGGTTACTCACACAAGTGGCGTCTCAGGCCAGGCTGCATGGCTTCCCCATCCTAGCCTGACCATGTTTCACGCCATGACGGGAAAGCGCCCAAGTCATCTTGTTTGCGCATCTTTGTAGGAGACGTGACTGGGCTTTTCTTACCTAACGTTTCGATACAAGACCTCGCTATCTATCTCTGCAGCTCTTTCTCCTCCGTCAGCGCCGGGGCCTGATGCTCCCCTGTGCTGACACCGCTGGCAAAGCACTAGGACTCCGTAATCCTCATGATTCCAAACTGTGGGGTCACCTTTCCTGGCAGCCACACAAGGGCCCTGCTCCGGCTAGTCTCAGATGGCGAAAAATCCCACCCTTTACCCCAAAGAACATAGCCTTCAACTCTGTGGATTTTTAAAACCTTGTTTAATGAAAGGTTTAAAGATACAGAAGAACATTCAAAAGTAAATAAGTTACATAGGTACATTACAATCACATCAGCAAGATTCTCTTTAGTGTATTAATTTTTTATATAAAAAGCACACAAAAAATAAAATCTTCCGTCTCATCTATCACAACTGTACAGCATAAGAGGTCATATTTATATATTTATATCTATGTACACCATTTTAATATGTAACAGTCTTTTTTTAAAAAAAAGGGGGGTGCCACAGGCAGCAAACACACAAAAGGCAGTGTCTGATCATTTGTCTCAAAATAAAAGAAATATACTTATTTATAGGCTATTAAAATATCTGTACAATAATTACACACTGTCAAGGCTGTTCCTGTGCTCTGTCCCCTCCAACAAGGCCTTCAACTTAGAGAGCCATGAGTAAAAGGTGAAACAGCTACAAATTAGAGGCAAATGGTAACGCAGCAAGATGGGAGGGGCACAATGGTTTTAGGAAAATCTGCATCCTTCCCGTAAACCTCAAGGGAGTCAGGCTTGCCACTCTAGTCACAATACCCCAGAAAAGAGGGCCCCCAGTGTGAGCAGACTCAAGGAGCTGAGGCCGCAGTCTGCGGTGCATTCTTCATCTACACATCTGGCCCAGGGGAGGAGGCCAGGTCACCTAGGCAGTTCCTCGAGCCATGAGCGGCACAAGGCCTCCGTGCCAGGGAGGGGGGTGGCGTGGCAGAGGGGCGAGTTGTACCTTAGCTGCGAGGGTGGATGCTGAAGGCGTGGACGACAGTGAAGATGCCACTGTCTCCTTGGAGGGCTGGGGGACCTCAGAAACGGTCCAGAACACAGGCACTAGGTCAGCATCACACCCATAGCCGATGGCAGATGGGACAGACTGGGAGACGGGTAGGCTGAGGCAGCGTGCGAAGATGACAGAGCTGGAGGTGTTGTCTAACTCATTAAAGGGCTCCGAATGGGAGGGAGAAGCAACAGAAGACACGCCTAAGGTGTTCACAGGGAGAAGGAAGCACCATTAAGGATGTACCTCTGCCAGCTTCTACGGCTGCGTCCACTTGATGGACACGTCACTTGTCACCATCACTTAACATTCTCCTTTTCACGCAGCGTCTGAAATCTAAACGCATCCTGGACACGGGCCCTCCTCCAGTTGGGAGGGACTCACACAGGCAGGCACCATCTCCCTTTCCTTCAGCTACATTCACCAGGTCTGACCTCAGCGAGCTTAGCGGGATAGAATCACTTTCTTGTTGAAAAGATGTCCAAATACTGAAGATTCCCTACTGGGCAGAAGGGCCTGGCATGACTGGAGGAGGTTTCTGTTAACCACATGTCCACAGAGAGGCATGAAACCAAACAGGGGTGTCAATAGGAAAACCTTGGGAAACGTAAGTAGCACTTTGGGGCTAAGCTGCAAAGGCACTCAGATCACACAAGGATTTAGAAGACAGCCTGAATCTGCTACCCTTCTGCTTCTAGAAGGCACGCCACATGTTCGCTGTCTTGGGACACCTTGAGCTTGGGAGAAGGCGGAAGAGGGAAACGGACTGGGATGTTGGAGAGCCAGGTTAAATGCAGGAGTCTGTGATCCTGCAGAATCATGCCAATGCATACATGAACACTGAAAACAAATACCTGATCGTGCATAGTTCAAAAATGTAGTAACTCCATTTCTACCCCCGGTTACCAACATGACGGCTTTCAGTCCATTTCCTTTGGAGAAGCAAAATAACTTTTTGGCTCCTTCCAAACATGCTGACCCACTGCAGATGCATTCACTTTGAATGTCTTGCACAACTGAGGTTGAGTAACAAGATCTGAAAAATAACTCAGCCCTTCTATGGGACTGACAAGGACAAGGGCTTCCAGAACCTTCTGGCCCTTTCACTTCAGTGACTTCCCTGCAGATTATGGCTTCATCAACACAACTGGAATTCTGGCTGCCTGCTGACTCCCTCAGGCCGTGTGAAAGTACAGAAGAGGCCACAGTAAGAACTGCCTTCCCTCCTGCCGTTTCAGTGTGGCTATCACTGCTACTGGCAAGCACTTCCCCAGCAAACAGGTGAGGGCCAGCCAGGGCTTTGGGAATTGAAGGGTGGGGAATGGGGATGTCAAGGTGCCTTGTTTTTGGATAAATGCACTAGGGCCTCTGGCAAACAGGAGGCCACTGGTCCCTGAGAGGATGTTAAAAATTAAATATTAAAAGAATAAATAAATAGCTCCCAAATGACACGAGTCAAGGAACAAAGACTCCTGTCCCAACCTAGTCAGGAGGCCTCCCCCTCCAGAGAAGGATCCAGAAATCTCCAGCGTGGACTGCCGGGGGGCAGGGGGAGGAGGAGGACAGGAGGCGAGCAGGCGGGAAGGGTGAAGCAGGTGGGTTTAGGTGGCAGCTGCTGAGACAGGCACAGAGGCAAGCAGAGAGTTGGCACCAAGAAGGAGCAGCCTGGGCCTCTCCCTGGGGTCTATTCAACTCCCGCAGCAGCCTTCAGCAAGGCTTAGCAGACGGGGTAGGCACGACGAGCCGGCCTCGGCCCAGGCCCTGCGGCTGGCTGAAGGGCGCGGACTGCAGAAGCTGTGCCAAGCCCAGCAGAGCTGCCAGCAAGTGGCCAGGGCATAGTGCCCGGTCTGGCTGCCAGTGAGGACAGAGGCATGGGCGCGGGCAGGCGCAGCCCCGGGTCGGGCTGAGCGCCCTTGGAGTGGCCGGCCCCCTCACCGGGGGCTGGGGGTGTGCAGCCTGCCCGCTGCAGCAAGGGTCAACTTGTGCTTCACGGCCCCCCATGGTGGCTTCCCGGAGACCCAGGGCTGAGGTGGGGAAGGGAGCGTGAGAGGCAGCCGGGAGCCAGTCAGAGCCAGGGGCCGGTCCCGACAAGCCGAATGCAAAAATACAAAAACAAAAACAAACAAAAAAAAACACCCCTGCATCCTGCAGCCCTTAATACCACCTCGGGGGGCCTTTATAAATTACATATATATATATATATAAAAGCCGTTTATTTCATTGTCTGTTTTTCTGATTTTTCGTCTGGCGGAGCTAGGTCCGCAGGACTGTCTTCACTACCTGCACGGGCTCGAGGGCGGGCAGCGCCTCAGCCCTTGTCGCCCAGGCCGCTCTCCTCACGCTGCGCCGGCTGGTGCGGGGTGGCGGCGGCCGCAGCAGCGGCGGCAGCGGCCTCCTTTTCCTTCTGCCTCAGCGCCGCCGCCTTCTTCTCTTGCTCGGCGTGGCTCTTCATGTGCGCGCTGCGGCTCTTCACCTTGTAGAACACCCTGAGGCCGCCCGGGACACACAGAAAAGTTTCTGTCAGGAGACTGGCAGACGACGCCGCGGAGCGCCCCCAGAGTGCGCATGCGCACACATCCACCCCTCACACCCTCTCCTCCCTCAAAGTTGCCCCCGCTTACGTCACCGCCCTAGAAACCAGAAGAACCAATCAGAAGACAGGCTGGACGCTCCCCCGCCTCGGCCTGCCCCGCCCTGTCCCATCCAGCGTTCTTACCTGCCACACTTTTTACAAGGGAAAGTGTTTTCCTGATTCTGGGTCTTATTAAATGTCTCCATTTTTTTCTTCTTCTCCGAAAAAGGCAGCGCCCTTCGCGACTTCCCAGGCCCCTCCCTCGGCTTCTCTGAGGCCGGAGTGACGGCCGAGCCAGGGGCGTTGGATTCGTGACTCCGCAGGATGAGGACGTCATTGGCCTGGACAGAACGAGACGCGGAGAGCTGAGTGGTCTGGAGGTGCAGAGCCCTGACAGTGGGCTCCTGGGGCGGCCACCAAAGGCCCTCAGAACTGGTCTAGCAGGTGTTTTCTGGCATTTCTCCCCCTCCTGGAGGCTAGTGGAGTACTGTAAGGGGACGAGGCCGCCAGGAGTCCACACAAGGGATAGCTGGGCGCAGTGTCAGCGAGCAGAGCCAGGACATGGGCTGTTCAGTTGCAGGAGGTGCTGCCCAGGAGGGACTTGGGTCAGAGGGCCCTTGGAAGCAATGGTGTGTGTGTCTCGGGCCAACCCTCCTACGAAAGCATTTATAGAAGTTCCAGAAGTCCACTGAGAGTGTAGCCGTGACTACAGCTCTTGGTACGGGAATAGCTAAGAGTCAGGGGGATGCAAACAGCTGATGTTTGCAGTTTACGGGGTTAAGCACACCCAGGTACACAACACAACAATATCAAAAGACTCTCCACATTAATTTCCCACCCAACCCCTTCCCATCAAGGATCTGGGGTGTGTGTGTGGAGGGGAACCTCCCACTTCCGCCCTCTGCAGACTTGATAGTGAAATGGAAAGTGTAATAGCCAACTAAAGTCAGGCTGCTGGCTAGCTGTGAGCCTGCATTTCCTCATGTGCAAATGGGAATGAGAGCACGTGGGGCTAGGAGGCCACCAGGGGCTCAGTCCAGAGTGCCAAGGGCACGTCCTGCCGGGTTACCGCCACGCCATGCCCCTGCAGTACCCTCCCTCCCTGCAGCCCCCATGAGCTGCGGTTTTACTTACCGACTCATTGGCCTGTAGTGTCTGCGTGGCTTTGACAGCCGCGGCCCGCCGGCTGCGCTCTCGCCCCTCTTCCTGCTCCCCCTGATCCTGGGCCTCGGGCACCTCTTCCTCCCCCTCCTTCCTGGGCTCCTTCACCTCCCTCCTTGGCTCCGGCCTCTCTTCACCTGGGGACTCTCTTCTGGGAGGAGGCACCCTTGGGAACTTCTGCGAAGTCTGCAGAAGGAGGGGGAAGGCGGATGAGGAGGGCAGGCAGCTCAGTTACCTGCCGCTAGGGGGAGCTCACCAGGCCCACCCACGCCGGGGACAGCCTTAAGATCAAGAAGTGCTAGGCCCAGGGACAGAGCATGCCAGTCCGTCCTATTCTTCTGCAGACACCTCCTTGGCCAGCCAGGGATAAATGGTAATCCTCTCTGTACCTCCACTCTCCTTGCCATCTGCAGCATGTCACTACCAGGTGTGACCAACAGCCCCAGGAGGCTCCCAGCTCAGCCCTGGCACAGTAATCACCTTGATATCCACTTCCACCTCTTCCTGGGCCGACTTCTCGTCGCTTGTATCGACATCCCCGAAGGTGAGCGTCCCGTTGCGGCCGATCTTCACCTGCTTCTTGTAGGTATAGTAGAACTCCACGCACTGGGCCACCGTCTTGGTTTGGATCTGGTGGGAAGCCAGCTGAGGTCAGAGCCCTTTCACACATAATGCCCACCTGCTCCTGCTCCCTGGGGGAGTGTCACCTTGTTTGGGTTGTTTCCCTCAGGAACGTCCCAGCTCTGCAGCTCTCACCTTTCCCTTCCTTCAGCCACACAGCCCTTAGGTTTGTCTTTGGGACTGCTTTGGGCAGGAAGTGGGCAGGGATCCCTAGGGCAGCTGCCTAGGCTTCTGTCTCCCTGGAGGACCACCCCTTTCCTTGGGGAATGACACCTCCACGAGCAGCCCTCCCTCCTGGTGTGTCCTCCTGCCTATGGCAGATCCAGCCTGGTCTGACACTCAGGCCTCCTTCTAGCCTGGGATCATACAGCATGACCATGCCACCCTTGGGCCAGGACAGGGGAGAGAAAGGCCCAATTTCTTACTGTATGAGTTAGGACATTAGCTCTGAGGTTATACTGTCTCAACAGTGTTTGAGGGTAACCCCTGCTTCCCCCACCACCAAGTATCCAAGACAGTTCCTGGCCCTCCCTGGCTCCTAAAATGTAGCCCCAGCTCACCAGCTTCTGGACCAGAAAGAAATCCTTTTTGTAGATGGCAATGCCCTTGTTGAAGAGCTTCCTCTCTGACATCTTCCATTGGTCAGAGCCTGCAGGACAAAGAAGGAAGCATGGTAGTGAGGCAGGCAGGCCAGGAGGTACCACGGGACAGGTCTTGCTGGAAAGTCTTGAGCCCATCCATCCCTCTGGGGTATCTGCCAGTGTCCAAGGCTGCTCTCTTCCTTGTTCCAGGTACCCCCAAGCCATGCCACAGGGAGCCTAGCCTCACTCTCCTTGCTAGGGAAATGGAAACTAATATTAGAACCCTCCTGAGTGCATGTTGGGGATTAAATGGGTTGTAGATGCAACTCAGGTGCTGACAAATAGAGCCCTAATGGTGGTCTGTGACCATGGTTGCTAGAATCATGTAACTGGACAATGTCTCTCTTGAAAGTATGGTGCCCAGAAACCAGACAAATCCTCAGCAGGCACCTGATACCAATGTGGGAGGCACTCCCGGTTCCTGTCCTTAGATCCGTGCCCTGACCACAATGTCTGTCTGACCACTTGCCCATCCCCTTGCCCTGTCCCTCCAACAGCACAGGAAGCCTCTGGAAGGCTCCCAGGACTATGGGGTCAGTCTTTCTCCATGGTTCTTGGCCCCCTCCCCCACAGCCCCCCCCCAGCTCCATAACCCAGCCCTGAGCCAAGATGGGCGATGCCGACGCACCTGTGTAGTGATAAGTTGCCAGCGGGTGGTTGTGGGGCCGCAGGGGCTTCTTCAGTAGCAGCTTATTCAGTGTTTCCTGTTGCGGGGGTGGGGGGGGTGGGGAGGAAAGGTCAAGAATCTGCTGCTGGCTTGGTACTTGCTGGTTCAGCCTGGGCCTGAGCGATATTCAGAGGGGCATCCCCCCAACTCAAGGCTGGTCATGCATTCTGGCCCCTGTGACCCAGAATCAGGGATTGGGGTGGACATGAGGACCTGGCACAGCAGGCTCTAGGACACAGCACGAGGGTGAGTCCCTGCTTGGTCAGACTGTCTCACCGGCCTCCCTAGGGACCCCCCCACTGCCCATCTCACCAGGACTTCTGGCTTACCAGGATATCTCCCCTGCTCTCGTGCAAATAATGCAGGGCCAGCTCCTGGTTGGTGCCAGCACCAGGGAAAATGCTGGAACAGGCAGCAGTCAAAAGGTATTCCACTGGAAGAGAGGAAACCCCACTTAGGGCTGGCTCTGAGTGGCCGATCAGGGCCTGGCCCTCCTACTGCCCACCTCCACCACTGGCCTCAGCTTGCTGGCTGCAGGTCCCCTCCTCACCTTGCCTCTGCTTCTCCCGGCTGCTCTCCAGGTCTTCCCATGGCTGCCACACTAGGTCAGCCTTGTGGGGGTCTGCAGCTGCCAGGGAACGGTCCCTCATGGAGGGGATTTCTGCTTGGAACCGGGAGCCCACGTTGATCCGCCTGCCAGGAAGGGGGGTTGGTGGGGAAGCACAAGGATTAAGGTCTCCTTGTGGAATAGGGAACCTGGGCACCCCAGAAAGGCAAGGCCTGAGGCTAGTAAGGGGGAAAAGCAGCTCCAGATTGGCAGCTCATCCCATTGCCTGCCCACCTAACTCTCCTCTAAGACAAATGCAAGCTAAGCTGGCCCCTTCCTTTCTTTACCTGCAGCTTCCACCCAGGAGCAGGGTGGGAGTCATGGAATGCAGAGTCCCCTTCCCCCACCCCACCTCCCTACTTCCCCAGGTGGAGCTTCCCCTTCTGCTCCCAGCCCCCCACCACATGCATATGGAGAGCCAGGGGCAGGGCTACACTTACGGCTCGATGCTCACAGGGGTGGCCTCACCCATCACGGAGAGGACGGGAGGCGTGACTTCCGTGCTGTCTGTAGAACAGAGAGCAGTTTGGCAACTTCTCTCTGCCCCTCCACCTCTCACCCCTAGCCTGGTTGAGAGCCCTGCATGCAGGCAGGACTCAGCAACCCAAGCATCTCTGCAGCCTGCTGGGACCCCTCAGGCTGTGGGAGTGCCTGGATTTTCACACCTGCACAAATGGGACTTACTCTGCAGGCCTGAGGGGTTACTCTGAGCACTCAATGACATAATGCACAGAACCTGGCAGTCCACCACCACTCCTGCTGCAAGTCACAGGTCGGCCCTGCACAAGCAAGGTCCCTGCCCCTGCAGTGAACTTATGCCAGTACAAGGCAACAGTTTTCTAAGAAGGACACGCACACTTTGTAAACTTTGAAGCCAAGGAACAAGGTGGGGAAGGGGCTTGCTGCTTTGTTTTCTGCCTCAACTTTCTCCAGAGCTAATCTTTTCAAGACACTCCCTTGCTGCAAAGGACAAAAAGTCACAGCCCACTCCCTTCTGCCAGTGGAGATAAACCCTGACTTCCGGAGCCCAGAACACAGCAGGGATCTCCTTCCAGCTGCATGTCCGGCCATCCCTTACCTGCCCCTTGAACGTCACTGCTTACCTCGTGGCCCCTCACTTGGCTGCAGGGGCCCATCTCCATGCCTTCGCTCCACCCGCCCCAGCATGCCCTCCCAGCTCCAGTCTCCTCCCTCAGCAGGAGTCCAGCCCCACCCCCTCCCAAAATGCCTTCCTCAACCGCCCCAGGCCTTCAACTGCGATGGGCTTCAGATCCCAGCGTCAGCTTCTCTCAGGCGGCTGCAGCCACTCCTTACAGGCCCAAACCTCCATTCCTCCCAGGCTTTTGTGTCAGCTCCCGAGCGACTCTGCACTCTGTTCCCTGCCTTGGCAGGAACCTGGCCAAGGCTTTTTCACCCTTGTGTCCGGTGAATACCCATGGACAGACAGGTCTCTTCTGCACTGCCTGTCTGCCCGCCGTAGTGGCTTCCTTCTGCACTGGCCAGCCAGGGTGAGAAACTGCCTGAGGAGGTCTGCCAGAGGAGCCAGGCCTTTTCTTGCCTGTGGACTCAAGGGGGCACCCGAGAGCCACACCGCGGCTGAGGTCAGGTTCAGAAGTTAATTGGCTAAACGTGCTCTTGTGCGCCTCTCACTTAAACTTCCCTTTGCTCACTTATCCCATTTCTCAGAAAAAAAAAGGGTCCCTTTATGGTGTGGATAGTATTTTTCAGCAGGTACCAGCCAGGTTGGTCTCGTGTTACCAAGGTGGGCAAAATGGATCTCCACGCAAGAGACCCAGAAGCAAACACAACAACCAGGTATGATGTTTGTAGTATTCCACCTGTGCTGCATCTAGCTGATACTACTGGGATGGGAGCAGTGGGTCAGGAAACCACTCTCCGTGATTCCCAATGCAGTTAACTCACTGGCAGTTTCAACCACTTTTACTATCAAAGAGCTTCAATGACACACACACACAGAGGAAGGTGACAGTAAACGGTGGATTCCGAAGACACCCACGCCTTCACCCACTCCCAGTCCTTGAGCTAGGCCACTCCTCCACCTCCTTATCCCTCAGAGCTCAGCCTCCAAGAGTCCGTTCTCCCTGGCCACTCCCTGACCCTCAAAGGGGGAGAAGAAGGGGCAATGCCACTCACTGGAGCGCAGCAGGGTGCGATGGGCACTCTTGGGCGTGATGGGAGGAGGGGCTGGGACGCTGCTGGTGGATATGATGGCGTTGAAGTAGAGGCCGGAACCTTCCCGCACGGGACTGAGGATGGGAGGTGGCGTGTAAGGGGGCAGCTCGAAGCTCCGCTCGGACGGGTGGTCAGCCAGGCGGACGGGAGAGCGCAGGTGGCTCTGGTATGGGGTGATGTTGGAGTAGACAGGAGGGGCGATGAAAGTGCCCGCCTTGGTGGGGATGATGAGGGGCTCAGGGCGTGGCCGCTGCTTTGGTTTCCGCACAGAGGGTTCCCCCTCCAGTTTGACGTTCATGTCCTCTGCCTAGAGAAGCAAACAGAGCAGAGATGGCTCAGCCTCCAAGGTCCCAGAAAAGGATGGGTCTGGATCCCTGCCTGCCAGATGACCCCTGGGCACACCTGAAAAAGAGAGCGGGCCCAAAGCCCTCCGTACAGGTTCCTGCAAAGGCATAGGTCAGCATGCTTTTTTCAGCAGCTGAACACCTGGTTTCTGTTACACAGCCTTCTTTTCCTATGTGTTGGTTTTTAAATAAATTATTTTATAAAAATGTAGCAACTATCCTTACCTCTAGATTTCAGCCCAAGCCCTAGTTTTCAACTCAGGTTGTAAAGTATGGAGTGGAGCAGGAGAGGACAGTCCAGGTGGCCCCCTGGGTCCTTGAGCCCCACATCTCTGAGTTCAACCAACCATGCAGCAAAACTACTTATTAAGTAAATCTGCGTCTGGGGGCCAGCCTTGTGGCAAAGTGGGTAAAGCTGCTTCCTCGTTGTAGGCATCCACTGTGGGCACTGTTTTGAGCCTTGGCTGTTCCACTTCTGATCCAGTTCCCAGCTAAGAACAGTTCTGGGAAAGCAGCTAAGGACAGTCCTAGCGCTTGAGCCCCCGCACCACTGTAGAGACCCCTGGTTTTGGCCTGGCTCAGCCCAACCTGATGCAGTAATTTGGGAAATGAACCAATGGGTAGAAGCCATTTCCCTTTCTCTGTCTCACACACTCTATAACTCTGCCTTTCAAATAACTAAGTCTTTAAAAAATTACTCCATCTTGCTATGATCTTCATTTTGATAAACTCTAAATACCTCTTAATGGGATATGTGATTCAGGTTTCAGAGGTGGCAGCTTTATCTGCTGTGCCACAATGCCCACGTCCTCATAGAACTTCCACTGTCAGAGTCTAAGTGCTATTATCAGCATGGGTAACCCCTTCACACAGTCCAAAGCCAGCTCCCACTGCTGTGCATTCCTGGAGCCTCCATGGGGAACAGGAAGCAGGGCAGGAGGGAATGGAGAACTTTCCACTGTTCCTGCCAGAGCAGGAGGTGAAATAAGTCAGCCAGGGCCCTAGTGTGCATGAGATCTGCCACTGGGAGGTGATCTGATTGAGGAGCTTGGGCAACTCCTCTGTCAGGACGCAGTCCCTGCAGGTGAGCACAAGAACCAAGGTTGGGAGCAGCCCAACCAGGCCAGATTACAGTGCCTGCTGGAATACGTGGGGTCAAGTCTGGGGCAGACCAGGCTGGACCAGTTCATAAAATCTACTGGCAGATCTGACAACCAGGACAGGGCGCAGGACAGGCGGGCTGGGCTGCAATACCAGCCAGTTCACTTTAGCGCCTGGACTGGGGACTGACTGGACTGGGCTAGGCTGCAGCACCAACCAACATGAATTGGAATCAAACACAGACCTGGTTGGGCCAGGTTATAGCACCCACCAACAAATGCCGAGGTGAGGCAGGCCATGCCAAACTGGGTCTTAGCACCCACCAGCACACATAAGACCCAGGATGGGGGGCAAGCCTGGTAGGGGGGCAGTACAGGCTCCTCTGCTGGGGAGCATGGGAACTGGGACTGGGGGCAGACCTGGCCAGGCAGGGTTACAACACCTGTTGGCCTGCATGTAAACTGAGTTAGAGGGAGAACCTGGCTGGGCTAACCAACTGTATCCTCTGGTACATGTGTGAACCAGAGTATGTGCAGACTGGTTGAGCTTTGCTGCAGCATCAGCTGGCAAATGCCGGGAATGGGGGCAAATTCTATCGAGCTAGACTGCAGAACCACTGTGTACCATAGCAGAGGAAGCAGAGCAGAACAAACTGAACTATCCCAGCCAAGCACTAACAGCAAATATCTGGGCAAATGGAAACTGCAAGGTTGACTATGTCACTCCAATGGACCTTTGAAGGATTTCCTCATCCTTGGATCGGTGATATCAACAGCATTTCAGAACTATCAAAACCATTTAAGCAGAACCCTTGGAGTATGCTCCACACTGGGGACCCTGGAATGACATCCCTGGGTACTGAGGATTTGGGAGGCTGGGTGTGGCTTATCTCCCACTCCCCTCATATACAGGAGGAAGAAAAAGACAATTTGGAAACAATGGTCTTACCCGGTTTTCCCTAACCCTCAATATTTCTCACCCCGATCAACTGATCAACTATGTAAGCATCATTTTAAAAAAGTCACTGGATTAAAGGTACACAGTTCAGATGTCATCCAAAAAGTTTCCAGTTGCAAATATCCAAACAAAATTGTGTCTTTCCAGGCAAGACAGCACAATCTATGCAAACATAGAGCTTCCCCCAAATTTCTGTGAATGCTGCATGGACTTAGATTCCAAAAGCCAATTTGACCCTGGGATGCCTACTTCCATAGTTTTCTCTGATGCACCTTTTAAATCCTTCCCTAATTTCCTTAAGATTCCATTTACAAATTATTGATGATGTTAGCCTTACTAATAGACCTTTTTGACAACAATACAACATTACAAACAAACAAAAAGAATGGAGGCCCCTGTTGGCTCCCATTGCTGTATTCACAAAAGGGGCAGAGCATGGAGCCCTTTGTGGGTGAGCAGCCTCTAGTTCACCTCTCTGCTGCATGGGCCTGCCTGGCCACTTCAGACTCCGGGGGATTGCCCTGATGCCCTGTGAGGCCACGGCCTTGATCCACCTGTGCCCTCTTCCCCACTTCTACTGACCAGGAGATGGAACTGCTCAGAGGCGCCATCTGCCCTGCAAAGGAAGCAATGATGAGGAATGCTAAGGAAGGGCTGGGAGCTGCCAGGATCAGTATTTCCTAAAAGCAGATGTCAACTATTCTGCATGCAATAGTCTTTTGGGCTGACACTGAGATGTGCTGAAAAAAGCCAGAATCCCGAGGTATGATATCAGACACGAACTGGAACACTTTTGGATGGAATGATACATTTGGGAAAGTGCTTCTGGAGTTACCCAGCAATGAAGAGACAGGCTGCAAGACTGGCTGCATTTGGACCATGTGAAGGCTGGATGATGACGGGGCACTGGCTTGCATGACCCCACTCAATTTTTACACATGGGAAGAACAACTGGATACATAAATCGGCAGATCCCAGCCACAACACAGCTCCCTGGTCCCTCCCCCCACCCAGCCTGCTGTTGTGCCAGTGCCACTGGGCAGGCCCAAGAAGAGTCCAACTTCAGGGCCAGCCCCAACCTCAGCAGCTAGGTTGCAGGGCCGGTGTCTTCTGCCTTCTCGGCATCTATTTCCTCATCCCATGAAATGGGGACCCAGAGCTGTGAAGGGGCTCAGGCTCCTCCTCAGCCAGGCCCCCAGCCTCCAGCACCAGCTTCCTCCCAGCCAGAGCTCAAAACCCAGGAGAGCGGTCGGGGAGTGTCCCTCCGTGGCAGAGCACAGGCACTTAGGTACAAAAGGCTTCTGAACAGGTCAGAGGAAAATAGCTTGGAAAATAAAGTGCCAAGATGCAGAAGGCAGTGAAGCAAGCCCAAGAGGTGAGTCCAGTGTTTGGAATTATGTTTGTCCTAGAGGTGGACACAGGTACCAGAAGAGCCCACTGGAAGGCTGAGACATCAAGCAAAGCTTTGAACCAATTCAAGGAACTAAGAGCATAAACCCTGGAGTTTAAGGCTGTTTGGACTGTTGTTCCCAGGAGCCACCTCTCAGAATAAAGGTTAGCTAAAACTAGGCTCGTCCCCTTACATTAAAAAGCCCACATATAGCTAATTTCATCTCAACTTCTCATCAAATTAAAGCCATTCAGGATTGCTGGTTTCTGCGGCTTGCTAGAAGCCAAGAGAATATCATTTGTGGAAGAGAGGAAAACATCACCAATAATTTCTCATATACAGACATCTGCCATTCAAAACAAAAACAAACCCAGGTACACAATAAAGAAAGATGTTATCCTAACACCAGAAACAACAGGGAACAGAAACAGATTCACATTAATGAAGTTATTGGAAACAAACATTAAGGAAACAACATCTAACCATGAAGGAACTAGAATCCCTGACAATGAAACAATGGCAATTCTATAATTAAATAAAGACAACCAAACTACGAATGCAATAAATGGGCCTAATAACACATTAAACAGAATTAGTGAAATGAAAGATCAGACTGAAAAAAAAAAATTCGAAAAACACAAGAAAGTACATGACACACACCAAATAGGGGATATGGCAGAGTGGCAAATAAAGTCCCAGAGACAGAGCAGAGAAAATGAAGAAATATTCAGGAAAGACCACAATCTCTAAAATGGATAAATACAAAGAAAAACAGATTCATGCATAAGAGCAAAATTGCTGAAAATTAAAACACCTCCAATCTTGAAAGCAGCAAGATCAAAGATATCTTACATTCTGAGGAGAAACAATATGGCTGCCAGTGATTTCCCAGGTCTGTTGGCACACAGTGGCAGTCTGAGACCACAGAGTAATTCTAAAGTACTAACTGAAGGCCTGACACCGTGACTTACAGGCTAAGCCACTGCCTGAGATGCCTGCTCTTGTATGAGTGCTGGTTCAAGTCCCAACTGCTCCTCCACTTCTGAACAGCTCCCTGTTACTGTGCCTGAGAAAATCAATGGAAGATAGTCCAAGTGCTAGGGCCCATGGCACCATGTGGGAGACCTGGATGGAGCTCCAGGCTCCTGATTTCAGTGTGGACCAGCTCCATCCATTCCATCATTGGAGAGTGAACCATGGATACAAAATCTCTGTCTTTCCCGCTCTCTCTGATGCTCTGCCTTTCAAGTAAATATATCACTTTTTAAAAAGTTTAAAAAATGAACAATCAACCTTGAATCCTCTACCTAGCAGTTACCCTTCAAAAATAAAGATAAAAAGTTTTCAGATAAAGACTAACCAAATTCATCCCCAACAGACCCATGCTATAGAACTATTAAGGAATATTAAGGAATTCAAGCAGCTATAATGCTTGGAAATGTGAAAAGAGAGCAAGAAAAAGGGTCATCACAACTGGATAAAACACTAAAGCTGCAAGTTCCCATTGATCTTAAACACACAGAGAATGAGGATATTAGTAATTCTGTAAGGTGTATATTGGTAGAAAACGGAGTAAAGATGATAGGAGAGTCCAGGAAAAGGGAAAAATAGTAACGCCTGTTAGATCTCCATCAGCCAAGCACATATATGTCAATCTTGAGTGGCCTTTTCCCCGTCTGTCCGTAATAACCTCACTGCTCTCCGATGCATTTAGAACAGGACTAGCTCTGCACCGTCAAAGAACTGAGTGAACCAGTCGTGCCAACCCCTTTCCACGGAGCTTTGTTCTACTGCAGAAGTACAGGTAGGATGATGCCAAGGTAATTACTGAGACATAATAAAGATACAATGAGTAATGCACCCAAGTGGAAAAATGAAAAAGCACCCTGATCAACCCGCTGGAAAACACATGAGCACAGGAGAGGCAGGGAGAGATGAAAAGCTGAGGGCAGATTTCCACCACCAGCAAGGAAGACAGAGAACTCCCAAGCAGAACAGAAGAGCCATGGCCAGGGGCTGGGAGGTAGTGCCCACAGAGCTGCTGGTCAAAGGAGACCCATTCTGCAACACAGTGCCTATCACTAATACCGGGGCATGGCACCTTGGAAATTGGTAGCAGAGATTTTAAAGTGCTCTTACCACAAGAAGAGTGGTTAAGTATGTGAGGTCACACGTACGATATTTGCCTTGACACGGCCATTTACTGATGCAGACACAGGCAGGTATTTCAGAAAGTTCATGGAAAAGTGACATTTGAAAGATCATTTTATTTTGGTACAAAAAATTTGAAATCCATACCAAGTTCTTTAAAAAAAATTTTTTTAAAAAGAATTTATTTTACTTCAAAAGGCAGAATTTATCTATTTTACTTCAGAGTCAGAAATTTCCCATCTGTTCATTTACTCTTCCCAGTGCCCACAACAGTAAGGGTTGGACTAGGCCAAAGCCGGGGCAAGTAACTCAGTCTGGGTCTTCCAATGGGTGCTCTACTACTAGAGTGGTACATCTGCTATTCCCAGTGTATGCATTAACAGGAAGCTGGAACTGAAAGCAGAACTGGAACTCAGATCCCAGCACTGATATGGCATGTAGGTGCCCCTTGGAGCATAACTACTTAAGCCAAGCACCTACCTCCATAGTTTTTCCATGAGACACACTTTCCATGAACTTTTGAAGACCTTCCTGCATCAAAACATCATGTTGCACACAGAGTACATATATAGAATTACTGTTTAAATGTGTTTCTCTATCCTAAAGGCAGAGTGACAGAGATTTCCATCTGCTGGTTTACTCTCCAAACATCTGCAACAGCCAAGGTCAGGTCAGGCTGAAGTAAGGAGACTGGAATTCTATCCAGGTCTCCCACCAGGCAAGGCAGGAAGCCAAGCACTTGAACCATTATCCTCCGCTGCTTACCTGGAGGCATCAGCAGGAAGCTGAATCACAAGTGGAGCACTCCGCCATGGAACTAGGTACCTTCACCCACTACACCTAACATCAGTCACAAAATAGACTTCAGAAGGCATAAACAATATAGCAGATAGAAACGACGACAACCCTGTATCTAATCCAGCTATAAACAAGAATGCGCCTAATCATGGAGCATCAAATGTACAGAATAAATAATAACCATGGAAGTCAAAGAAACAGACAAAACCTTGGTCTCAGTGGTAGACTGCAAGGCAGATTGCTCAGCACTGGCCCAACAAGCAAACATCTCTGCACTCCGGTCCCTAGCATTAGGCTTCGACTGCATCAGGGGCCAGGTCAAAGTTTGCTAACTGGCACTGGCAAGATTCACCCAATCTCATCTCCCAGTATGAACCTGTCTCACAGCCCGTGGTCTGTACTTGTGCCTAGAAGTTAGGTTTAGAAAGTCAAAATGGCTTCTTTGGAGATAGCCTCCTCCGCGGCCATGTTCTCCTCTTCCCAGGGTGTTTGAGGCCCCAGGCGTGACCACTGGTGGCAAGCAGGACCCTAAAGCCCTTCCCTCTCACCTGATTCGTCGCCTCTGACCCGGGGACCCGGGTGGACCGCCTGCGGGTGACGATGACTGAGGGTTTGTGTTCTGTGGGGTTCTGGTCAAGACCCTTCCCATCCCCGTCCATGCCACCAGCCTGGGCCATCTCAGCTGGGTCCACAGCCCGCACGGGCACAGACACGGGAATGATGAGAGGGACCAGTCCACTGTCATCTCGTGAGCGCTTGGCGGCTAAGGAAGGCTCAGAAAACTCCACCCCACTCTTGGCAGTGGAGGCCAGGACGCTTTTCCGCTTCTCCTCGGAGCCATTGGCATCCTGGAAAAGAAAAGCAGGGCATGGAAGTCAGTTTAGAGAGGAAGTCCTGGTTGGCTGCTCTAGGATCCCCCACCCTCATTTAGCCCAGGGACGCAAATACGCACAAGGATCCCCCGTGGTCTCTGACCACCTGGTCTTTTCTTAACCATCTCTTCTCTCACTACATTCCCACATACCCTTCTGGGACCACCCTTCTGCCAGGTCCTCCCACCCAGGGCTGGAGCAAGGGCCCCCAGACATCCACCAGTTGACAAATGGCTTTTAAATGTGCTTCATTTGACCTGCACGATGGGTGGCACATGAAATACTACCTAAATACTTTTGTAAAATCTCACTGCAGCTTGGCCAGGGCAGTCCGCACTGCTCTCTGTGCAGCGAGTTATGCTTGGCACCCCACCACAACCCACTCCTCCCTGCACCCGGCAAGACACTCCCTCCCACACCCAACCCCTCCCCTCCAAAAAAAAAAAATTTCACTGCAAAGTGCCAGTGTTGTTGTTAAGCTACCACCTGCACCGCTGAGACTCCCTATGAGTGCCAGTTTGGGCCCTGGCTGCTCCAACTTCCAATCCAGCTCCCTGCTGATGCACCTGGGAAAGTAGCAGCAGTTGGCCCAAGTGCTTGGGAGATCTTGGGAGATCACCTGCCCAGTGGGAGATCCAGATGGAGTTCTAGGCTCCTGGCTTGGGCAGGGCTCAGACCCAGCCCTTGCAGCCACTTGGGAGCATAAACCAGGAGATAGAAGATTCTCTCTCTGTGTGTCTCTCCCTCTATCTCTCACTCAGGGAGCCTGTGGTGACATGAACGATACGTGGCGTGCCTGTACCCCACAGGCTGATGGCAAGAAAAGTTGGTCCCCAAGCCCAGGTTAAGCTCTGCTGCCTCTTTCACATTGACTTGGCCCCACAAACATCCACAACGGAGCCTTCCTCTGGTGCAGAAAAGCGTCAGTGCTGGCCCCTGGAACAGACACTGACCAGGCTTCTAGACTAGCGATGCCACCTCAGTAAACCCCAGCTTCCTTCAGTGGTAAACCAGGGATACACAACAGTATCCCTGGACGTCTCGATAAATCACTTGTGAATAAGTATTTAAAAAGCTACAAGCACAACTCAGGTGCTGAAATACTGCTCACTCTCCCTCTCCTCCATTATTGTCAGTTTTGATAAATCAGCTTTATTGCGCTGGATCTACCTACAACAAAATGAACCTATTTGAAATGACAGTTCAGGGACCAGAGCTATGACACAGTGTGTTAAGCCTCTCACCTTTGCATTCTGTAGCGAGGCCAGCTCCACTGCCTTCTGAGCCAAGGTCAGCAAATTGGCCTCCTGGGACGTGCGGCGTCTCCGTCTCGTACTCTGGATTACCCCACCCCGGAGTGGCTGGCCACAGTCACTGCTGCCCACTGTCCTCAGGCTCTCCTCGCTGCCCGCACCCAGAGCCTCCCGCTCACGACCGTTGGGTGCCAGTCTCTCTCCGTCGGCCAGCAGCTCCAGTGGGAAGCCCAGTGCTTCAGGATGGGGCTGTCCCAGGGGGCCGGGGGGTGGCTGCTGCAGCGGCCAGTGATGCAGGAAGAGATTGCTGGTGGGTTCCTGTCCGGGTTGGGCGCCGGCTCCGTCCAGGGCGGTGGGAGGCAGGATCCCCTCCTTGGAGAGACGGCGGGAGCGGCGGGGGAAGGCGACCGAAGGTTGAGGTAGCACAGGCTGTGGGGCCGACTCTGGCAAGAGGGCCTTGCGCAGTTCCGGGTTCATGTCGGGATTCGGGGGGAAAGGGTAGGGCGCCATGCTATGGTGAGCCAGGTGCGCCTGCCCCAACGGTCCGGCTGGCTGCAGGCCGAAGTCCTGGGGCTGCTGCGAAGGCGGCTGCTGCATGGAGTAGAAGTTCTCAAAGAGCTGCATCTGCGGCAGTGCTGCCTGCGGGGGCGCCTGCTTCTGTGGGGGGAAAGCGGCTGCAGCCGCTGTGGGGTTGGGTGGAGGTGGCGGTGGGCCCTGCCGGAAGACCTGCCGGTTCACCTGGTGGCCAAATGCCAGCTGGAAGGGCTGCAAGGGCAGCGTCTGGTTCGGGGGTTTCTTGGTTGCATGGAAGGAGTTGAGGGGAGACGGCTCCAGCGGCCCTTTGGGTGGCATCACGGGCCGCACCGCGTTGCCATAGCGGTCCAGCTGCGGGCCGCCCCCTTTGTCCCGCTTCAGAGCCTCGGGGTGGTTATAGTAGGTGGGGACCCCCACCCCAGGATGAGGGCTCCCCTTGGGTCCGCCGTAGAGGGACAGCCGGTTCCACGTGGGGTGCGGCGGAGGCTGGCCTGGCTGTGGCTGCCAGCTGCTGTCACTGCCGCCACCGCGCTCCGGACCTCGCCCGGGGGCCATCACCGAATTGGGCCACTTCACCGATCCCACCTGCTGAGACAGCATGCCTGGCGTGGTCCTCTCGTGCCCGTACACCACGGAGTTCAGCAGGGCCAGGCTGTTGGTGGGAGGCAGCTCCACGGGCTGCGAGGCGGAGGCAGCCACTGGCCCCTCCAGCCCCGCACCGCTGCCGAACTGTTCCTCCTTGCTCCGGAGGGCCTGCTGGGGAGCCTGCAGCGGGGGTGGCTGCTCCTTGGGAGCCGCGTCCTGATCCCCAAAGAGGCAACGCTTCCGTTTGTTCTGAGCCTTGGGCTGGGCCTGGAGGTTCATGGTGTGGCCAGCTGAGCCCAAGCGAAATCTACTTCACCAGCTGCCCATGCCCACCCCCGGGGAAGTGGGGGGAGGGACAACTGCTGGAAGCCTGGCCCAGTCGGGAGCTAAGACCGTGCGAGACGCTACAGCACTGGAGAACCAACCAGCGTCCGATTGTTGTCTTTCAGAGATGCTCTGGGCTGCTCTACTTCTCTCTGCCGTTCATGGTGCTCACCGGGTCCTGGAGCCTACAGGAGGGAAAAGAGCCACAGGATCAGTCACAGCCTTTCGCATCAGGGGATGTCACGGCACAAGCCTGACCAGGAGCTCTCCAAGGTCAAAGAAATGAGCCCAAGGCCATCAGGCAGGTACAGCTGCAGGGATACCAGTAGAGCGCCGCTCCCAGGTCCTAGTGGAATCGCCTCCCACCACCTGCTGAAAGCCGGGACTAGCGACGCCAGGTGGTGTGGCTGGTGCACTGCACAAAGAAAGCACCTGCCAGGAAAGCTGACCTCCGGACCCAGCCTTTCTGACCACGCTGGGAAATGGGGCAGCAAGAGGTTTCCTTTCCTTGAACCAAGTGCCAGTCCCACCTCCCTACATACCCGCCCCAGGGCAGCCAGGCCTGGTCCTGCGCACACCATAGCTTTCCACCATACCCTGCCAGGATCTCTGACATCCCAAAGTAGATGGCACACGCAGGAAGTGGGAAGAGAGGTGCCATTTCCAACATGGGCACCCCTTCCACGCAGCACCTCCACCCCCACCCAACCCCTGGCAGTGTCCAGTACCCAGGGCTAGGTTCACAGTCCTTTTACACTGAGCCCTGCAGGTGTCAGATGAGGCCCCAGAAGGGTGTCTGTGGTCCCAGCCCCACCCCTGGGAAGAGCTGCTGGGTGGGGCCCAGCTGGGAGTCTTTCTCAAACTCACAGGGAACCTGTTTTGCAGCCCTGGCTGGCTGGAGGCAAGATCCCCGCCAGAACTGAGGCCAGCAGCTGCCTGCTGCCCCCTCCTAGGAGATCCTGAGCACAGAATGGTGTTATGCAAATACAAGGGTGTGTGTGTGTGTGTGTGTTTGTGTGTGACTCTGCGCTAGGAATTAGGGCCCAACTGGGTTCTCAGTGATAAAATAAGACTACAATGTTCACAATCTGTTTTCTGATTTTTATTTTTTGCAAAAGCTCGCTCTGTTTATCCTACTAGAGAACAAACAGAATCCAGACCTGTATTTCACAACTCACAAAGCTGCTTGCACCGGCAGCTATTGTTACAGTAGCTGCTGGGAGGGGGAAGGGAAGGGGAGGAAGAGAGGGGAGGAGGGCACCACATGGCCCACCTCTTCCTAAGGACGAGCCACTCCTGGGTCCCCACGACTGGGAGGGGCTGGCCAGGGGCCGCGGGGCTCATGAGGCAGCTCTGGAGACGACCTGTGCAGGCCCAGTGACCCAAGCCCTGGAGGTCCTGCGTCACTGTCAGCAGTGCCAACAGTTCCCAGCGAGCGAGCAGCAGGCGGGACTCCAGCCTGCCGTGTCCCCGCCCCGGGGTCCGGGCACGCCCCTCGGGCAGCGGGCAGGCGGGCGGCGGGCAGGCGGGCAGGCGCAGCGCTATCGAGGTGCGCACGCTTCCGTAGCTCGGTAGCTCGGCGGGGCCGCCCGGCCGGCCGGCGTGACTCAGAGTGGAGGCCCCCTCCCTCTCCGTCTTTCACTTTCACCCAGCACCCAGAAGGGGAGTCACTTCCTCCTCGGTTTCCTTCCTCTGCTTCCCGACCCTGCTGGGAACCGGAGAGATTATCCCCGCGTGCACCCGCTGATGGAAGCTAGGCGGGAGAGAGGTGCGGGGAGAGGGGGCTGGGAGAGACAAAGGCGAGAAGAGCCTCCCCAAGTCCCTTCCAGTTCCCAGGGCCCCCATTCCCCTGTAGGTGGGAAGAAAGGACGAGCTAAGGGCCCTTTGAGCCGACCCCTTTCTCTTGCCTTCGGAATTCGGAGCAGAGAAAGCTAGAGCAAACAGCCCCTGGGCAGCCCGGAGGAGCGCTAGGGTGGGTCCGCGTGGCCCCACCTCTCCCAGCGACTATCTAGAAGCAGGCCTCTGCAGAGGCAGACAGAGGAAGGAAGGAAGAGCTTGTGAGGGGACGGGCGGGGTGGGCACCACAAAACACTACGCCTTCCCCCGCCGCCAGCTCAGCCACAAGGGGGGCCCCATGTGGCCCGCAGGCCTGGATGCACGTGCCAGCATGTGCCTGGTGCAAGGGGCCCCAGCACCGGGATGGTTGCCCGGGGAGCTGGGGAGGCCTGCAGTTCTCACAGGGGTGTACCCACAGCCTGCTGCACAGCCAGCTTCCAGAGTTGGGCCCAGCTGGTCGGCCTCCCACACCCTCCCCTGCCCAACATGGAGGGCCTGTACTCAGGCACCCCGAGACGGTTTCTGAAGCTGCAGCTGGGACTTACTTAGAGCACAGCAAGGGGCTTGGTTGAGGGGGGCTGAATCCCCCCAGAAGCTTCCTGCTAAGGGCCTCTCCGTCAGTCCCCTCCCCCCCCCCCCCAGGGGAGCACTGAACACAGATCCTCAGAGTCCCACAGGGCTGGGACTCCCCAGGGGAAAAAGACCACTCATGGTCTGGGGACTAGGGGGTGGGGGGGTGGGAGGGGAGTGGGAGATGCCTGGGAGGAAGGGTGGAGGGGCGCTGCCAGGCAGAAGGACGCTAACAAGCAGTCACAGCACTAATAACAATGTGCACCTGCGCCAGCCCAGGCCTGGGGAAGGCAGGCAGGCGTTGCTACCTTCACCAGCGGTGCAGCCATGGAGGGGCTGAGCCACCCGCCTGCAATCACGCAGTAATTCCACTGCAGAGTCAGCACTTCAACCCAGACCTCTCTAACTCCAAACTCAAACTCTTGGAAGATATGCACCACTTCCTTCCCCAGCACACACTGCACTGCCCCCACTGCGTGCGTGCAGGCATGCAGGCAAGGTGTCCCAGGAGTGGATAGCCCTCCTCCTAGGCCCTGGGGAGCCCTTGGCTGGTAATCCGCCCTTCCTCCAATACAGCAGACCCCTCCAAACCTACAGGAGCCTCACCAGAGGGCCAGCAGGCTTGTGATGACCACCTCCCTGGAGCCCTGACACCCCCCCGCCCCCGCCAGTGTTTCCTCCTCTCCTGCTGGCTGCTACAGCCCCACCCTCTGGGCCTGGGCTGCTGGTGGGGCTCCCAGCAGAGACCCCACCGGCAGCTCCTGGCCTGCAAGCCCGGGCGGGCCTCAGCCACTTCCTCCTCACTTCTCACTCTTCTGTCCCTTGGGTGCTAGGCAGCTGAGCCCTGCTTTGTGAGGAACCATAGGGAGACCACCTTCTCCACAGGCTGCCAAGCCCCATGTTGCAGAGAGTAGGGCATAAAAAGGAACCCCTGCGAGCAGCTCATCCAAATGGCAGGGAGGAAGGGAGAGGAGGAGGGGCAGCACAGGGCAGAAGGAAGCCTGCAGGCCCCAGGGACTCCAGACACTGCAGCCGGCCCCATCGGCCTTGCTCACTTTGCTCTCTCTTTTGCAGCCAGTCCCTGAGCAGACCTCCCCTCACCACCCCCACAGGAACTCCTGAGGCCTTCTGGGGGATCCATGGCCAGAGGCACCCCCTCTCTCCATGGAAAAGCAGCACACGTCAAGAAGCCAGTGCCGAAACCACAATGTGTGTTCTGCAGACACAGCAGAGAAGGTGCTAGGGAGGCTTGGCATGGCTGCAAGGATGGCAGCCAACACACACAACCCACTCACAACAGTCCAGGGCTCTGGCCAATGGGACTCAGGGGCCAGGTCATAGCTGCTAAAGGGACCAGGCCTGTCACCAACCTTCTTGGGACATTTGGGGCGTTCATCTGACAAACATGACCCTTGTGAGTCAAGGTCACACAGGCCAAGGAGGAAGTGCCCAGTTTGACCCTAGCAGCTGTGGGTTCTGATCAGATCAGAAGAGCCGCCTGGAAGACCCCTGATTGCTCCAGCTTTTAAAGCTCCAAGCTCAGGGCTATAGTAAGCTAAGCCTCCACCAGCGCTGCTGGTATCCTGGCATCCCATATGGGCACTGATTTGAGTCTCACTGGCTCCACTTCCAATCAAACTCCCCACTGATGTTGGGAAAGCAGCAGAAGATGGACTCTGCACCCACATGGGAGGCCTGGAGGAAGCTGCCGTCTCTTGGCTTCAGACCAGCCTGGCTCCAGCCATTGCAGCCATTTAAGGAATGGAGTGGACAAGGGGATAGATTTGTCTCTCCGTGTAAATCTGCCTTTCATATCAATCAAAAGCCCTGCAGGCTGCAGAGGCTCAACACTGGGCAAAGGGAGAGATGGACCCCCACCCAAGGGCAAGATGGATCCAGACCCCAACGCAGCGGCTGCCAAGGGCCTGAGTCCTGGGGTGAGCTGGTTCTCCAGACACCAAAGAGGCTATCTCAGAACAAAGTCTAAACTCCCTCCCTCCTGTACCCCGAGGGCCTGCTGACATCACCCAGGAACGGGCAGTCTGGGCTCCCTATGTGCACTTCCTGCTCTGCTTCTGGGTCCTTTGACAACCTCTCCACCTGGCGAGTCATCCTTTAGGCCATGGACGCCGCTGCCTCCAGGAAGTCTTCCCTGATCACATGGCCAAAACGGGAGCTTGCACTGTTGAGCACATGACATGTCCTGACCTCTACCACCTGGCTCAGCACACGAAATCCCCAGAGCCTGTTTCCTCATCCCCAGCAGACGGGCAGGCTCCGCAGGGCAGTCTACAGACCGTTGGACCTTGGCACCTTGGTGCGTACCTGCCTCTTGGGGTGCTTGTTCAAGACTCACCTGGGGTGAGTCAGAGCCATGCCTGGGCAGAGGCGCCACTCTATGTTCCCACCCTGGGCTCCTGCCTGGTCCCCACCTCCAATCTTGAGGTCCCTCGTGCACACCAGACCTCCTGGCTGTCCTCAGGACCCAAGCCTCCCTGTTCCTAGCCACTTGCTCCTGGACTCTCACCTGCTGCCACCAACCGAGGCACTGAGGCAGGCCGTCTGGGAAAGGGCCAGACCGCACGCTCCCCACAAAGGCCTCCCACCCCAGCCTAGGGACATGACCCTGTGAGTCTGTTTATCTCCTGCTGTAACAGGGCTGGGCTGGGTGCTAAGACACTAAGTGTGACTAGGATGCTGGGTGTTGTGGGGGGAAAGGGGAGGACAATGATAGGTGCCTTCTTCAGAGGAGGCCAGCGTGGCCCAGCTGGTACCCTAG